GGGCCATGGCACTCCCTAATTTTTTGGAAATTTTTTTTAGTATAAGTAAAAATAAAATAATGTAGTATATATAATATAAAATTTACACTTGGCCACTCTAAGAAAAAAAATTATTTCTTTAATTAGAATTTAACAAAAGATAGTTTATATAGTAGTTTAATTAACGACTATAGAATCTCGATAAAAATTAATTCACATAAAAATTTAATTTGGTTTTTTTAAAATTTCAACTCAAATACCGTTTTTTCTATAATGTGACTACAAGCACGATTCTTTTTATAACCTTATTATTCTAAAATTTCATTTCAAACATAATTCTTTCCATCACTTTTTTTTTTCTTTTTATTCATTTTTATTGAAATGCTTTTATAAGAATTTTATAAGAAATTAATTTTTACAAAATTAAGAACAAAAATTTCATTTGAAATTTTGAATATCAACAAAAATCGATGATTTAAAAATCTAAATTTTTATTTTATTAATTTGTTTGTGTTTTTTTTTTATTATTTTTTTTTATCATTGTTATTGTTTTGTTAAATTTTCAATTGTTACATTTTTTTTTAAAGTTAATTTTTTTTTTTTTTCCTTTTCGGTAAATAAAGAGAGTTATTTAATTGAATTTTTTTATAATTTTGGCATAAATCTTATTTGTGTTTGTTCAGAAAGTTTGAAAAAAAATTTCTTTAAATAACTAGTTTTTTTATTTAAATAAATTGAAAAAAGTTTAAATACATATATTTTTGTATGAATATAATAAATAGTAAAATATTTTTGCCAATATATATATTTTTTTCCCAAAGTTCTAGTTAGGTAATGTTGTTTATAATTTTGCCCCCCACCCCCCCTCATGACCAATAAGTATAGCAACTTTTTGAATGAAGTTTCATGAAAACATATATTTTCATTTAAGCAAATTTAAAGGTAATGAGTTTTAAATTGGAAAAGCCTTTTATGCCGGGATGGAGTCAGAAATTTGTTTTAGAGGCACAATGAAAGTAACAAAGTAAAATTTTTGTGTGACAACAAAATCAAAAAATATAAATAATCAAGATTCAATTATTATGCCATTTTTTACCCCAAAAAACTGCACTAAGTAAAAGTTCAAAAATATATAATACATAAATTATGAAATTGTTGTAATAAAATTAAAGAAGGAGAAGAAGAAGGGATAAAAAAAAAATCATAATAGTAATAATAAAAATAAAAATAAAAACCACAGAAAGTTACAATACATACTTTATACATGAGTGCGATAAGAAGATATTTTAAAAAGAAATTATAGAAGTAAAAAGTGAAGAATAAAAGAACAAAAAGAAAAAGAAAAATAAGAGAACTTTGAAGGAGAGAAACCAAAAAAAAAAAAAAGGATTTGAATGAAGAAGATGAATATAAATTTTTTAGAGGGAATTAAAGGAATTAGAAGAGGAGGAGTACAAGAGAAAATAAAATAGAGAGATTTTTAAAAAAAAATGGAAATTTCAAGGCTACTTCTTAATATTTTATAAGTATACAGGAATAAAAATAAAAATTACTGTATAAATTATGAATATAGATTATGGATCCCAGCTCAGGGACACGTACCCCGGACTTAATTGGCTCCATCCTGCACTCATGTAAAAAAAAAAATAAAAATTTTTGGGTCAAACTTTGCATGAGCTAAAAAAATATGGAGTAGATATAATTAACACGTGTTAACTTCACCTCCTAACAAGCATCCTTAAAAAAGGAAGGAATCCTTTCTCGCATATCCTATGGATGAGTAGAAATAATGTCATGAAACTAAAGCAGGTGGTGGATATATTTTGACCATAACATTCAATAAGGGTGACAAGACAAGGGAAGCTTCCCCTACTCTAGGAACGAACACTTTTGGCATGATTAAATGGTGACCTCCTTTTCTTTTCTTTCCTTTCCTTTTCTTTCCTTTTCCTTTTCCTTGGCTTATTCCCTCTACCAATTAAGAAAAACCTCTTCCATTTATTTCCAACCAAACATAATGTTAGATTTTTTGACGAGTGCTGTTTGGTTAAGTTTGGCATGAGCTATTGACATTCAACAGAAAAATCCTGCATCTTCTTCGTATGGGGGATTATTAGTACCTATAAGTCTATAACAATGTGTTTGAGGCGTCTCATACATGTATAGTATTAGTTTTTTTTTCGTTACAAAGTTATTATATTAATTCCATTCATGGTCCACTATCTATTTAAAGTGTCGAGAGGATGGCTTGGACCATGACATAATAGACCCGGTCAAAATTGGTGCATATTGATTGCAATTCTTTATTTCTCATCACCATAATAAACAATAAATTGGCTCTTGGGACCCCGACATATAATTGACCTCAATCATTCATTTCAGGCCAAATATATCTGCATGAGAAACAAGCGTATGTGAGGAAAAAAAAAAAAAAAACCAAGCATATACCTTCTTGTGTAGGGTATTGTTAAAATGAATAGTGAAAAAAATGCAATTGATAATTGTGCTCAAAACAAAGGCGAATCTAGAGGTAGGCGAAGGTGGGTTGAAACCCACCAAAAAAAAAAAAACAAAAAAATTTTACCATACTACTTTAAACTCAGCCCAAAATATATATATATATATATAGTAATGGTAGTCCACCCCAAATTAGCCCAATTCAAAATTAGCCCACCCCATTCAGAAATGCTGGATCCGCCAGTCAAACATTTCATAAATAGTAGTCGAAAGTCGAAATACCAATTTAATGTTTTTATATATTTTCGCAATATAACAATGGTTACTATATTAATGATCAATGTCCTTTTTTTAAAAAGAAAAAAAAAATCTAAAATGACCTTTTTAAAGTAGCCATTATATTTTTCAAACTTACAATACTTTTTTTTAGCAAATATGTTTTTATGTTTTTGCTATTAAATTTTTTATAACAAATGCACATTATCAAACATGCTTCTGATTACTATTTAAAATACTATATAACAGAATATTTTTTTTGGTTTCGGATTAAAACAAAAATACAAAAATAAAACATGTAGCAAACAACCCCTTAGCCTTTAAGTATTGTATGTAAATAATAAAGATTAAAGGTTAGGCAAAAATTCATAAAATTCACTTTTTAAGAAAATTGAATCAAGCAAGTCTAATGTATAACCAACAGGCCAATAGCTTGGTGGAGCTTAGTGGTACCATACTTTTATTTTTCAAAAAAAGATCAAAAGTTCGAGTATCGGTAGAAGCATGTGTGTGTGAGTACTATTTAAGAATATATATATATATATATATATATATATATATATATATATATATATATATATAGACACACACACACACACATTTAACTCTAACCCTTTCTCTTAGTAAAAAAAAAAAGGCCCTATCGATTCAATTTTCTAAAACACGGTCCTTTTATTTTTTTCTTTCTTCCGGTGGATTTTGGGAGTGCCAGGTTTCGACTCTTTACACCTACTAATCTAACTTCTAACCTTTCTTGCTTTGTAAAAAAATAAAAAATAAAAATAAAAAAAAGGCCAAAAGTTTTAATTTCTTACATTTTACTAGGGTTTGTTTGGCAACTACTTTTGTTTTGCATTTTGTTTTTGTTGTCCTATAATTTATTCCAAAACAGAAACATAGAAAAAAAATGGGTTTAATATGATATTTACATTATAATAATTTTTGTAAAAAAATCGCTTTACAGATGTTAAGTTACAAACTTACAATAACAAAAATAAATAAATGTGTAATATATATATATATATATAATTTAGTGGCCTAATTGAATGTGTAATATATATTCTAGCGCGCTGAAACATGTCTTAAAATATTATTTAGTGACCTAATTGAATGTGTAATATATATTTTAGCGCGCTGAAGCATGTCTTAAAATTATATATATATATATATATATTTTTTTTTTTTTTTTTTTTTGCGAGGCAATTTTCCACTAAAGCCTCAATTCATGGCGCGTATTGGATGCCACTGGAGAGTGAGGACTAAGAGCATCCGCAGCCCACTAGCAGAACCCAATTTCCACGATAAAGAGAGGCTTTGGGCCGTGCAGTGGCCTCTTCAAAACTGGTAGGGCCCATTTAGGCTCGTGGGCCGGCTCGCGGTATTCAGCGAGCCGGCCCGCAATCGTGGTAATTTTTTTTTTGGTTTCAAAACGGCGCCGTTTGGTTGCCACTCTTTTGTCTTTTTTTGCAGGTGCTGGAATAGTGCGCCAAACAGTGCCTTCAGATTTTTTTTTTTTTTAAAAACCTAAAATTTGTTATTTTGAGCTCTATTTTTAAAATAAAAAATAAAATAAAATTCATTAAATAAAAAATATATTGTTGAGGCACTGTTTGTCTAAAATAAATTTTATTTGGACCCAAAATAAATTTAAAAAGCCTTCCCCCCCCCCCCCCCCCCTCCTAAAATTTGTTTTTTTTTTTTTTTTTTTTGCTTTAAATTTTAAATGTGTACCATAAATAATGCATTTGGCCATTAAGGTACTGTTTGGCTGACACAAATAATGCCTTAACAGCTATAATTTTTTTTAAAATATATTTTTTTTTAACTTTTTGAAAAAAAAAAATTATTATAATTACAAATTCATCTACTTATTCCAATAGTATTTTGTAATACTTATTTTCTTATTCCAATCTTCAAAAACCATTACAAAATAAAAATACTAATACACAAAAAGTCATAACATTTTAATATAAAACAAAATGCAATATAAATTAAACATCTTCGTCAGCATAGCGGTTCCACAAATTTTTCATCAAATCATTCCTCAACCGCATATTTGTCTCTCTGTTACGAATCTAAAGTTGGCGAGAGGATATGTGTGCCGCTAAAACCGATGGGCATCGACTTAAAGTGGGAATTGGGATTCTATCCTCCGGTGATGGAGTCCATCTTCTAACATTTGCGTGACGTTCATCTTCAATGATCATATTGTGAAGGATGATACACGTTTTCATTATGAGGCACAAGTCATCTTTCTCCTAGCAACGCACTGGTCCTTACATTATTGCTCACTTGATCTGCAATACCCTAAAAGCCCGTTCCATATCTTTCCTTGTTGCCTCTTGTCGCTGAGCAAATAATTTTTCTTTTGTAGTAGTTGAGTGCGGGATGGTCTGCATCAAAGTTGTCCACTTAGGGTATATACCATCAGATAAGTAATACCCCATTACATAGTGATGTCCATTCACTACATAATTAACCGGAGGTAATTGGCCATTGACGATACCATTGAATACCGAGGAATAATCCAATACATTTATATCATTGTGTGAACCCTGCATTCCGAATAATGCATGCCAGATCCACAAATCTTGTGAGACAACTACTTCCAATATAAGAGTATTCTTGTCATATCGTCCCCTATGTGTGCCTTACCACTCCACTGGACAATTCTTCCTCTCCCAGTGCATACAGTCGATAGAACCAAGCATACCCGGAAATCCTCTTTGCTCCCCTTCTTCAAGCAGCCATGCTATGTCGGCTTCGTTGGGTGGGCACATATACTCCTCTGTATACACAGCAACAATAGCATTACAAAATGCCTTCAAGCATTTAATGGCAGTGCTCTCGCCGATTTTAATATACTCATCATAGTGATCGATTGCACAACTACATGCGAGTATACGAACAACAGTTGTTATCTTCTGTATAGAAGACAACCCAAGACGACCAGTCGCATCATTTTTTTTTGGACAAAGTAGTCATCATAAGCTTTGACATCATTGAGAATACGAAGAAAAAGTTCTCGTCGCATCTTAAATCGCATGTGAAAGTACTCTGGTGGATATGTGCAATTCTCGTTGAAGTAGTCTTTCATTAGCTGATAGTGGCTTCCTTCTCGGTCATGATGAATGTACCGCTTCTTTTTACGGATTTGAAATACTTACTTAACCATCTTTGGCCTCGTTGAATTCATAATCTTATAGAATTCGTCTTGATCATGTCGAATCAACGCCCCAAAAGAATCATCTTCCGAAGATGATGACGAGGAAGATGAATAATTAGACTTTACCAAAGGAAAAACTTGTGATGACGAAGCCATTCGAATTTCGAAATTGAAAAAGATGGATGATGATATTTTTGCTACAATAAAGAGAGATGAATATAGCGATGATTTTCAGAAAATGAGTTTTATTATATAAGAAGAAAAATATATCCGTTACAAATATAGCCGTTAAAAATATAGCTGTTACAAATATAGCCGTTTAGGAAAAGTTAAAAAAAAATTAAAAATAAAATAATTTTAATTTATTATTATTATTTTTTTTGGAGAGCCAAAATTTGGAAAGTGCGTATTTCTGGAGAGCGAAAACTGCTGACGTGCCTCTTGGAATTGCTAATGTGGCGTATTTAGAAAGCCAAAATTCAGAGAGGATGGTGCAGATGGCCGCCTTGTCATGGGCAAAATTGTAATTCAAACCAAGCCGAGAATCGGCTGTAGATAGGGATGGCAACGGGGCGGGTTTGGAGCGGGTTTCCCTAAATCCCGCCCCGCCCCGCCCCTTTTAATTTTTGTCAAGTCCATGCCCGCCCCGAGACCCGCGACGGGTTGAATTTTCATATCCAACCCCGCCCCGTTAGGAAATACTGTGCCCCCGTGCCCGCCCCACTAACAAATTTTTTTCTCCCACTTTTTGGAACTTAAACTCCTGCTATTTAAATGTGCAAAGCCTAGGAATGACACAACATAAATAAAATTATGTATTCTAACAAAAATAAAAAAAATAACATGCACATAACATAATTCAAAGAATATAATAAACAAAAATAAAAATTTAATACAACCAAATCACAAGAAGTTCTAAGCTCCAACTTCCACCATAACCAAAACAAAAGCAAATTTAATACCAAGTTTACATCCCAAATTAGGATTGTAAGAGATGGGTTGGGTAAGCCGCTAAAATAACTTATTAATATATATATATATATATATATATTAAATATAGTTATATGCGGGGCGGGGCGGGGCCCCTAGGATATGTATATTGAACCCTTACCCGCTCCGTGACCCTCGACGGGTACAAAATTTGTATCCATGTCCGCCCCAACGGTATAATAAATGTTCTCATATCCGTTATTAATGGTGCGAAACGGGGCGGGGCCCCGACGGGCGGTAAAAATTGACTTCCCCAGCTGTAGAGGTGAAATGCCAGTCTGGCACTCTCTCCGCCGACATCTCCCTTCCCCAACTCGCCAATCCACAGTTTGCATTCTGTTCCTCCCAAAACTGAAAGGCTCTCTCTCTCTCTCTCAACAACTGTGGAAGGATTTCGATTCTCTCTCTTCAATGGATGAGGTGATCACAGCCGCTGATGCATCGGCGAGCTTTCGATCCTATTTATTAGAACCGTCCATTGTACCTTCCAACCTCCCTCTTCTCTCTGCTTTCCTCTCCTTCTCGCTTGCTCAGTTTTTCAAACTCTTTACCGCCTGGTATGACCTCTTTCTCTCTCTCTTTTGTTTAATTTGCTTCGTCGTAGAAAGAATGCTATTTTAGATGAATTTGATTTCGAAATCTTGATTCCGCCATTTTTAATTTTTTTTGTTATGTGTGCAGTAGTGTGCATGGTGAAATTTGTGGTTTTCTGTCTTGATTTGGCTTACTTAGTTGCTAAATTTAGCTAATTGTGATAAGGAATTGTAGTTTTAAACATGAGGTGTTAATGCGGTTTTGATTCATGTTAACCGTGTTGTGGTTGTTGAATTCTTATACATCAAGTTTCCTAGTGTTTCTGCTTCAACTATGATTACTTTCAACCATCACACTAGTGTTATCTAAACCTTTCCAAGTAATGTAGAACAACCCATAATGCTTTGTTCTTGTTGATGAAATTGATACCATTAATGAGTAAGAGAGCCTTTTTAACCTGAACCCTTTATTGTTTCCCAAGCATGGGATTGTTTATGATTAATTTGGAGGTGATGTGATTGAGATATGGCAATGTCATACATACCAATCTATTATATGTGTGATGCCCCAAACCTGGAAACTATCTCATTCTTTAGTGGTGATTATTTGAGTGTTTGTTCCTAATAATGTGCTTAATTTCTCAATTTTGCCAGCGTAATATATGATTAATCTACCTACCTCCATTTATGTAAGACAAAACTCTTTAGGAGTTTAGACATCATTCGAGAATTTCATGAAAACAAAAAAATTTATCATCTAGAATTTTTAAATATACAACAAAGTTGTACTTTGAATTCTGGGAATTCTGAAACAATACTGACTTTCCTTGTTTGTAAGAATCATTATAAATTCCATTCTGAACAAAATGAGACTCAATTTACCAATCCAAAAAGTAGACTCTGGATATATGTAAAATTTCAATTACTTTTGATGTTGTTTTCAGTTTAAAAGTTCTTCAATTTGTCTCACCAAAAAAAAAATTCATGCAAACTGTTGCATATTTCTAAAGCAACCCAGTGCAATGTATTGTGGGTGTGGCTCACGCACCATCCCATGTCATAAACAAAGGTCCCTCAAATTCAAATGATCAACATTTGAACATAATCCACGTGGAATGCACCACTTCATCTAACAAACCAAGACAATGCAAACCTCAACTGTTTTTTTTTTTTTTCCCACATATAATCCTCGAGTCAACCAAAAGATCCTCTAGGAGTTCTTTCCCATAGACAAACCTCAAATCAACTATCCAAATCATGACGAGTTATTCTCCACAGACAAACCTCAGGGAATTCTTCTCTCCAAATTAACCTTGAGGGGTTATTCCTCATAGATAATCCTCGAGTCAATCATCAAAACCTCAAGGAGTTCTTTATTACTGATAAATCTTGAATCAACCATCCAAACCTTGAGGATTCCTCCCCAGACATTAACCTCGAGTGAATCAAATGATCCTTGAGGAGTTCTTCCCCATCGATAAACCTCAAGTCAACCATCCAAATCACGAGGATTTCTTCATTTGAACATATTCCACGTGGCATGCTCCACGTCATCTTACCAAGACAATGCAAACCTCATGTTTTTCCCCACAGAAAATCCTCGAGTCAATCAAACGATCCTCAAGGAGTTATATCCCATAGATAAACCTCGATTAAACCATCCAAACTACGAGGAGTTTTCTCCACAGATAAGCCTTGAGTCAATCGAATAAACCTCAGGAAATTTCTCTCTACAAATAAACCTTGATTAGTGTTTCCTCACAGATAATCCTCAAATCAATCATCCAAACCTCGAGGAGTTCTTCATCACAATCTTCACAGATAAACCTCACGTCAACCATCCAAACCTTGATGAGTTTTCCCCACAGATAAACCTCATGTCAATAAAAAAAAAAAAAACTGGGAGAATTCTTTTTTTTTATAGATAAACCTTAAGTCTGCCATCTAAACCTCGAGTGGTTCTTCTCCCACAGATAAATCTCGAGTAGTTCTTCTCCCACAGATAAACCTCGGGATAATCATTTGAACCTCGAAGAGTTCATTTGCCCAGATAAATCTTGATTTAACCAAATGGAACTTGCGGAGTTCTTCACCACAAATAAACTTTTGAAGGGTCCACATAAACACAGTCCCTTTCATGCCATAAATTCTAAAAATCTTCAAATATCCAAAACTTATAGTTACTTAGTTTCACATGCAAACTATGCTCCCTTTGCAAAAGGCTATCTGTAGATATTACATATGCTCCTCCCCTGTTCGAGAATGTATGAGAATATCATCCACAAACACCACATGAATGGCAAGACCTAAAATTCAATGTGGCGTAGTAAGTCTGAACAAAAGTCTTGGGTATGTCACTCTATTCACCCTCAACCCATTGTCTCTTGATTGCAAATCTAATTTTGGAAAAAAAAAAAAAAAAAAAAAATTATTCCCCTTCCTTCGTTGGTCAAACAAATCATTGATTTTAGATAGGGGTATTTATTCTCTACTGTCACTCAATTGAATTGCACAGTCTCATGGATCTATCCTTTTTCATAAAGAGAAGTTCTAGGTTGAATAGACCCGTCTTGGAATTTCCTAAACTCTTTGTTTAATTACGTAAGTTTCATGGCTGTCATATGATAAGGAGAAATAAAGATTGGTGCTATACATAGATAAAACTGAACTTCTGGTTGTGGGGGTATTGGGTAAATCAAGTAGTTTTTCAGAAAACACTTCAAAGAACTCCTTGGCTATAGGAATAGACTACAGGAATTCAATGTAATAGGTTTTAGAATGCTTCATTATTTATTATTAGATCATTGAAAAACAGAATTTTCCTTTTTTGCATGAAATAATTGAGATGGGGGTATCAAAGCCAGGGACGGAGCTAGGATTTGATCTCGGGGGGAGGCACAGTGTACTTGATAAAAAAGAAATCAACTAACATGACAAATATAGATTTTTCAAATCAAAAGGCAAACAAGAAAAAAAAAAACCACATTGAAAGTGATGCATGATAGTCTCATGATGCCACATTGGGCAGCTGCCCTCTTTAATTAGCCTCAATAGATTTAGCGATGCATGATAACCTCAATAGAAATAGTGACAAAATTGGGAATTTATTTCAGGAGAGGCATATTGAACATGGTAAAGTAAATTTTTTTCCCCAACTAACATGACAACTAACACTGCAACATGACAATAATCTAGAAAATAGAAGTGCAATAATGGTGCATTAACCAAGATTCAAATAGTATGTCATTATTCGCAAAAAATTACTGTAAAAAGAAATTCAAATATATAAATTACATGCACCGAATTCATAAAATTACAGTAATAAATTTAAAAAAGAAGATGAGAAAAAAAAAAGGAATAAGAAAAGAAAAAAAGGTTGTAGTACATAGTACATACATCGTACAAAAAATTAGGGAAAAGATTAGTGTTTGATGAAGATGGGGAGTAACTTTTTTTTCTTAAGAGACTCAAAGGAAATGGAAGAGTAAAAGAGAAAAGAAAGAAAAAAGTTAAGAGATATTTTATAACTTGAAAATTTTAAGGGGGGCAATTTTATCATAAAAAATGCACATAAAAAAATATATATACATGTATTGGACGGGGTGGGGCCCGGGGAGCACATGCAAACCCTCCCCCCCAAGAGCCTACATTGGCTCTGTCCTTGATCAAAGGAGGAGGGTGAGGCGGGCAAAAATTAAGAACATGTTGACAGAAAGAACACTATTGTGAAAATTTTTAGGCTAAAGATGCGTAAGAACTTAATTATAACATGAGTACTTTTCAGGAGTTTCATTCTTTTGGCGTCTTTGAGAAGTCGCTTAATGCTTCTTTCATTGCCCTTATCCCAAAGAAGGGAGGCGCTTCAGATATAAAGGATTTCCGTCCAATTAGTTTGGTGGGCTGTATTTACAAACTTATTGCTAAGGTGTTTGCTTTAAGGATGAGGGAAGTTATGGATGGGATCATCTCGGATTCCCAGAATGCCTTTGTTGGCGGTAGGCAAATTCTTGATTCAGTTCTTATTGCTGGCGAATGTGTAGATTCCAGATTGCGGAGTGGTATTCCTGGAGTTTTATACAAATTTGACATTGAGAAAGCATATGATCATGTGAATTGGAATTTCCTACTCTATTTGTTACAAAGAATGGGGTTTGGAAGTAAATGGAGGAAGTGGATTGAGACTTGTCTTTCGTTTGTCAAGTTTTCAGTTCTTGTGAATGGTTCTCCCGTTGGTTTCTTTGGTTGCTCTCGGGGTATAAGACAAGGTGACCCTTTGTCATCTTTCCTTTTTCTTCTTGTTATGGAGGGCTTAAGCAGACTTATGCGCAGGGCAGAAGACCTTGGTTTTATAAAAGGTTTTAGGGTGGGTAGAGATTTAGACCATCAGATGGAGATTTCTCATTTACTCTTTGCTGATGATACCCTGGTTTTATGTGATGCTGATGTGTCTCAACTTCGATACTTGAGGTGTATCTTGACTTGCTTTCAGGCAGTTTCCGGGCTTAAGGTCAATGTGGCTAAGAGTGAGCTTGTCCCAGTAGGGAATGTTCAGGACATTTTCTCTTTAGCTGCAGTCCTTGGATGCAGAGTGAGTTCTTTCCCTATTCCTTATTTGGGCTTACCCCTAGGGGTTTCTGCAGGTTAGTGGGGGGTTGGGATTCCGTGATTGATAGGTATGCGAAGAGTTGGTAGGCTGGAAGAAGCAATACTTGTCAAAGGGGGGTAAAGTTACTCTTATCAAAAGTACGTTATCGAGCCTTCCCACTTATTTTCTTTCTATGTTCCAAATTCCTTGTTCCGTTGTAGATAGGATTGAAAAAATTCAAAGGGATTTCCTATGGGGAGGAAAGGGCGATGAATTCAAGTACCACCTTGTCAAATGGGAGGACGTTTGTAAGCCTGTGAAATTGGGTGGACTTGGAATAAGACGTTTAGTTCCTTTCAATCAAGCTCTCTTGGGTAAATGGTTATGGAGATATGGGAGGGAAAGACATCGTCCATGGCGCAGGCTAGTATCTTGTCGGTTTGGGGACGAGGCTGGAGGTTGGTCTACACGTCCAGTTACCCTCGCGGGAGGAGTCGGGATGTGGAAAGCTATTCGGAAGGGATGGGATGCTTTTTCTGCCCATATTAGATTCAAACTCCGTGATGGTCGTCGTATTCGGTTTTGGGATGATCTTTGGTGTGGGGATCAGCCACTTTCTCGTACATTTCCTAGATTATTCAGTATTGCTGTTGATAAACACGCCTACGTAGTTGATTGTTATTGGCTTGATAGCAGTGGGATTACGTGGGATGTGCATTTTCGGCGCTCTCTTCAGGACTGGGAGATGGACGAGGTATGTGTTTTTCTGGATCTCTTGTATCGGCAGGAGGGCGTTGGTAGAGATAATGATGTTTTGATTTGGGTTCCTTCTTCCCACGGTCGTTTTGAAGTTAGATCCTTGTTCTTATGTTTGTCTAATTTTGTTAATCGAGAATTCCCATGGAAAACCATTTGGCGGTCTATGGCTCCAACTAGAGTGGCTTTCTTGTTTGGACTGCTATGAGGGGAAAGATTTTGACAGTTGATAACTTGAGAAAAAGGGGTAATTATATTGTTAATCGGTGTTGTCTATGCAAGGATATTGAAGAGTCCGTTGATCACCTCCTTTTGCATTGCCCTCTAGCGACCGATTGTTGGAATCTTATTGTTGGGTTGTTTGGCATGTGTTGGGTTATGCCACAATCTACTAAGGAATTAATTCATGTTTGGAGAGGATGTCGGGTGAGAAGAGATGTCCGCTATTTCTGGAGAATTGTACCTCATTGTGTATGGTGGTGCATCTGGAAGGAGAGAAATAGCAGAATGTTCGAAGGGAAAGAGTCGCCTACGGCAATGGTCAAACTTTACATTCTTCGCTCTCTTTTCAATTATGTGAAGAGAAGTTTTTGTTCTTCTTCGGATGATTTAAGTACTTTCTTGGATTCGTTGGGGCCTTAGTCCTGGTCCCACTCTTGTAATTGGGACGCGTTCCCCTTTTGAACACCTTTTCTTATATTATTTTTACTTATCAAAAAAAAAAAAAGAACTTAATTATATTTTGGTTTTTCTGTCAATTAATTTGTAAAATTAGTGTACTAAAGAATACACATGCACACACACAAAATGCTCACAAACATACACATGCGTACAAATATATACATGTATACACATATAGGTGTTCACACTTGCCACAGGTGGGGAAGCAGGACAAGTGCACGTGTTGTTGAATTAAACTTTCTCAACTAAATTTTAGGCTAAAGATGTGTAAGAACTTAATTATATTTGGGTTTTTCTGTCAATTAATTTGTAAAATTAGTGTACTAAAGAATACACATGCACACACACAAAATGCTCACAAACACACACATGCGTACAAATATATACATGCATACACATATAGGTGTTCACACTTGCCACGGGTGGGGAAGCATGACAAGTGCATGTGTTGTTAAATTAAACTGTCTCAACTAACTTATTTGGGTAGTTTGTTACAGCAAGTTAGCCTATCTGGATGTAGTTTTGATATTCTGTTGAGGACCTTACTGAAAAAATCAACATAAAATTAATTGTGGGCAAGTTTGGATGGGGGAAGATATTACTTTTGGTGTGTGGTATATGTTCATAAGATATAACTATGACGGGAACAATTAAATATTGATTTGAAATTGAGGATCATTGGTAGAAGTAAATTTTTTTTTTTTTTTTTGATAAATAAATTCAATTAAGAAAAAAGCGTTCAACAGGCCTGTTGAATGCGTCCCACATACAGAAACAGATAAGAAACAAACAAGGGCCCTAACGTGCCAGAGAAGACAGAAAATCGATCGAATACTCAGGATGACAACAAGATCTACCCGAACCCCAAAAAGAAAGAAAGTAAATAACAGAAGACTTGAGAGCAGCAATTGAAAACTCCTCTCCTTCAAAGGCTCTTCTATTACGCTCCCTCCACAAACACCACCAAAGGCACAAAGGCGCCATCCTCCTATACCTTCTAGCATGAAGGCCCACGTAAAAAATACCTTCTAATTTTTTTTTTTTTGGAAGGGGGGGTAGTAAAAAACCTTTTTCAAGTGCAAGTATGAATATATTTACATATTATGTACTTCTAGTCCTTGTTCTTCGCCTCTTCTTCTATAGATTGAAATTCTATGGCGTGTCGAGTTTTTCTGAAGCGAGCTTGTTTTGTTATTTTTTACATGCTATAGCTCTCTAGTTGAACAAAAAAAGACAAGAAAAACATGTCACAACTTTTTTTTATTTTTATTATTATTATTTTTTATACATGTTCAAATGATTGGAGTAACATTATGTGTCCCAAGTCAGAAGTTATAACTCTTGGTTGATTAAAAAAACACTAAAAAAGAAAATAAAGCATTTTACAACTTTCTGTGCAGCATGCAATATCTTTTTGTTCTTTATTGTTTTCTATTTATTCTTTATATTACTTGCTTGGTTCATTCAATATTTCCTCCTAGATGTGCAGGTTCAAGGAGAGGAGATGGGATTCTAGAATGATGTTTAATTCAGGTGGCATGCCATCATCACATTCAGCAACTGTTACAGCTCTTGCGATGGCAATTGGTTTACAAGAAGGAGTTGGAGGATCTGCATTTGCCATTTCAGTGGTTTTGGCATGTGTTGTATGTATTTCGTCACCAGGTCTTCTTCATTCTTTTGCATTGTCACATTTTCTTATTCTTATTTTTACCCATATAATGAAAAAGCATGGAAGATCAAATTAAGCTGATGTTAAAATTTCTTCTCTTTCATAATCTTTTTTTGTTTAGAACTGAAGATATTATTAGGTTACCAATTTCTCGCCTTTTCTCTTTTTGGTGTTTAACATAAGAGAGTTCTGATTAAGAACTTCTATCGAGTAAGATTTGTTCATCAAAGAATATACCCTTGTAATAAGCGAGAGACATTGTTCATGAGTGGATTTAATTTCTACTTACTTCCATTCCATTAAACGGGAAAGTTCTCTAAAAACGAAAATGAGGGGCTTAAGGGTATTAACTAAAGCACAAAGCCGGAAGGGTATTGAGCAAAGATCTACATTTCCGGAGAGAGTAAGAGAGAAAAACAGCACCCGTACCAGACAAAAAGTACACCACAATTCCGGTCATTCACTAAACGGTTTTATTGCATGATGCAAAACCTTGTAGGGATACCCCACCCATCTTATGTATCCTAGCGCAAAAGGGTGGAATGAAACTCCTGGTTTGTTTAATGAGCCCGTGTAAATCAGACTGCTTGGTAAAGGACGTAGAGGTGAGGCCTCAAATCTCCTTTCATATTACCGAGGGACTGGGCTTGGTTGGCTTGTTATTCCCTATCTTGAGAGTTAGTCATTTTCCCTATATATGAGATCAAACTTTTGATATCGGATCTCGCTCACCAGAGCTAAAACCTGGTTCAGTCATTTTCTAGCTATATCGGACTAAAGTTTTCCATTTCTCTTCTTCGTCAAGGGATGTAACGGTCTGAACTGAAGAGAGGTGGCGGGTGTCTAGGAATTGTTGGTTTGACTTGACTGTTGCGCGAGAAGAGGTTTCGAAGGCAGAGGTTGAGGAATTTCTCACACAAGTGTAGATCAGTTTCAAGCTCATGGGTAAGGAATAGGAAATTCCATATCTTCATTTCGAGATCAAAAAGGGAACTTCCCATTTCGTTTCACCAGCGACCTTGGTGACAATCTATTCTAAGACTTATGTTCGAACTTTCATTTAAGATTTGCTATGGCTCATGACCTTAGGTAAGGCCCCAGGACAATAAAGAAGCGTACGGGCCGTAGAGCAGCGAATGACAAACGACTTTTTACTTTTGAAGTAATGATTCTCCCTCCTTATTTTGCTTGTATCTACATTGGTATGATGAACATACCTGCCGAGGTAGTAGCGCGTGCTCTGCCTATTGAAATATATATTATATATATGTATTATATCCTGTTTCCTTCTCCCTTCTTTCCTTATATATATGTATAATATATTATAATATTATATTCTGTTTCCTTCTCCCTTCTTTCCTTATATATATGTATAATATATTATATATATTATACATATATATTATATTCATTTTCTTTTCTTTTCTCCTTGATTTTTTTCCTTTTGTCAACTTTATTTCCTATATATTGTGTATCAATACAATGTAAACGTATCAAGAAATGTAGCCTCAGTGGCTCTTGATCCATGGATGTAGGCCTTAGTGCCGAACCATGTATATGCTGGTGTTGTTAATCTTTCTCTATATGCATCATCCTATTTTATAAATTTAACATTGCCTACTGCTGAAGAACTTGCTCTGATTTCCAGTATTCTTTTTGTTGTATGATGGTATTTTCTATTGATGGTGTTCAGGGGCTTCTGAGCCTTTCATGACGTGGGTTGGGTGCTTCGTTGTGCGGTCCTGGAAGCCTGTGTATCCGGGGACTGAGATCTGGTTTTGCGTTGTGCATTTTAGTTTCTACTTACTTCCATTCCATGTTGTCTCTGGTTCCATTCATTTTGTCATGAAGGTTGTGATTGTGGGTGGGCTTTTCAGTAGCTCAGTGGTAGAGCATGTCAGGAGTGACTGGTCTTAGGTTCAAATCCTTCCTGGAAAAACCTACTTGTTTCGATCTAGAAGGAAGCCTCCGGCTTCCTCTCTCCCACAACTAAGGCCTTCTAACACGCAAGCTCATCCAAACATTTTCACTACTTCTGCAGCTATTTGAGACTCAAATGTTTTCAAAAATAAATGAATCTCGACTCAAAGTTTTCAAAAATATATAGAGGTTAGGAATGAATGTATTAATGGATTTTGGAAATATTTCCAGAAGAGGATTTATGGGGGCGCCTCTGTTAAGGCTTCTAGTAGAAGTCTATATCAACAGGGGTGATTCATTTATTGTTGGAAACAAAGAAAAAAGGGTCTCCTTTAAATTATAGTGACTTGCACTAGCGTGATTTACAATTAAAAATAGAAAACATGACGACAATGTTTGATGAAACCAGTATCTTTAAAACATTTTCCGTCTTGATCAATCTACTAATAGGGAAAAATATGGTCACGGCTAAGGTTTATCTAAATCAGAAGAAGGGTCTAACGGAGCAAGATTTTAGTCTGATTCATGTTTTGGGGCCATATACTTTAGAAGCTATCATTATTTATGTTATGGGGGCAGTCTTTCATGTACTATAGGAGCCTTCACTCGTGAGGGTTGCCACTTTGATTGCTCAGATAGATTATGCTGTTAGTGCAAGCTGATATTCTTATGGCAAAGAAAAGCACAAGGACTCTTTAAACAAAGAGAAGAAGAAGAAGAATGTGAGGAGGACAGATTATACGATCAGGGTAGCCTTGGTAGAGTTCCTAGTTGAAAAAAACTTGATCACACTTAAAACAGTAAATGCTGAGGAATTGAAGGGATTAGAGGTGTCTAAGAAGAAGGGTTATATTAAGAACTGTTTTGTTATGTGTAACTTTGACTTATCTCTACTTCCAATTAAACTAAACCTTTCCATGGTTGTAGAACCAATTCCTTGGAGTTCTAATAAAGAAGAGGCTCCTAAAACCTTTGAGGATATATCAGGCGGGTATTTATGTGCACTGACAGGCGAAATGTATAATAGGTTTAGGCTCTTAACCAGTACTCGCTTGAGCGATTTCTTTATAAAGTTCAATGACCCTACCCGTTTGTGCTCAGTATTGAATCAACTTCAGGCGGAACCATTTCAAATATGCAAGGGTGTCTTGAACTTCATTGATCTAAATCGGGCGTTCTTAGAAGAAGAGGCTCTTCTTATGAATAGTTGTTTTGCCAACGTCAATCTACAAGTGGCAGCTGAAAAATTGAGGGTCTGTTACTTCAATGACAAAGGGGTGAAGGAATTTGTTAGCTTAGACACGTTGTTAACAGAATTTCCTAAACGGGTGCAGCAAGCTAGGTATGAATCATTTGTATTGACCCTTGCGAGAGCATACGCAGGATATCAATTTTATCTACCCGCGTTCATGGACTTCCAATGTTGAATATACAGAGTTGGGGTCTTGCATTTCCATGAACGGGACTTCGCCAAATGCTTGATTTCTTTTGCTTCTAAGAAAAATAAAGAGGAACAAAGTCCTGATCTTAGAATGACATTAGAAGCTGCGACAGCCTTCAAGTTTCAGAAATTTCAGACCATTGAACAAGCTTATTGTTGGTATAGAGATTACTGTCAAGACAAGATGGTTTCAAACAAGAGCCTCATCCTCTTAGCTAAACCAGCATTATTGTGATTAGATGGCCTTATAAAAGATTGCAAAACCTTAGATTGAGGCAGAGATAGGTCAAACCCTTATAGGTGGGTCTCTGGTGGCTTACAGCTAGCTATAATTCCCATAGAAGTGTTGTTTGATTTAGGGGAGGGAATAACATGCCAGCCAAGCCAAGATCCACGCTATCCGTGAACCAAGCCAGGATTAGAGCTAACAGAACTCCCAGACATACAAAGGGAGGTGACCAGTTTTGCTTTGTTTAGTCAGCTATAGCTGCAAAAACTTTCAACCTTGTTTTCGCTCTAGTGAGTGAGAGAAAACAACATTTGTTTGATTTCATATAGCAGCAGCAAAATGAGTCAACCTTGTTTTAGCTAAGAAGATTCCGCGAAAAGTGGAAGAAACCCGGTGTTTTCGGCCTAACCCCCTTGTTTTCCTTAAGAAGACGAGCAAAGAATTGAGAAAGTTCGATCTCATATAGCGACAAAAGTCATGAACCGGGTTTTCCCTCTGAGACAATGTCTATTTTTGAAAACTTTGAGTCTCATATAGCTGCAAAAGTAGTGAAAATGCTTGGATGAGCTTGCGTGTTAGAAGGCCTTAGTTATGGGAGGGAGGGAGCCAGATGCTTCCTTCTAGACCGAGACAAGTAGGTGTTTTTCAGGTAGGATTTGAACCTACGACCAGTCACTCCTGACATGCTCTACCATTGAGCTACTGAAAAGCCCACCCATGACCACAACCTTCATGACAAAATGAATGGAACCAGAGACAAAATATGGAATGGAAGTAAGTAGAAACTAAAATGAACGCAGAACCAGATCTTAGTCTCTCGAATACAAAGGCTTCCGGGACCGCACAACGAAACACCCAACCCACGTCATGAAAGGCTCAGAAGCCCCTGAACACCAACAGTAGATAATACCATCATACATCAAAAAGAAAACCGGAAATCAGAGCAAGTTCTTTAGCAGTAGGCAGAGCACGCGCTACTACCTCGGCAGGTATGCTCATCATACCAATGTAGATACAAACAAAATAAGAAGGGAGAATCATTACTTCAAAAGTAAAAAGTTGTTTGTAATTCGCTGCTTTACGGCCCCTACGGTTCTTTATTGTCTGGGTGCCTTAGCAAATCTTAGATGAAAGTTCGAACGTAAGTCTTAAAATAGATTGTCACCACTGTCGCTGGTGAAACGGAATGGGAAGTTCTCTTTTTGATCTCGAAATAAAGCTATGCAATTTCCTATTCCTTGCCCATGAGCTTGAAACTGATCTACGCTTGTGTGAGAAATTCCTCAACCTCTGCCTTCGAAACCTTTTCTCGCACAACAGTTAAGTCAAACCAACAATTCCCAGATGCCCGCCACGTCTCTTCAGTTTAGACCGTTCCCTCCCTTGACGACGAAGAGAAATGGGAAACTTTAGTATGATATAGCTGGAAAATGACTGAACTAGGTTTTAGCTCTGGTGAACGAGATCCGATTTCAAAAGTTTGATCTCATATATAGGAAAAATGACTAACTCTCAAGATAGGGAATAAAATCCAGCCAAGCCCAGTCCCTCGGTAATATGAAAGGAGATTTGAGGCCTCACCTCTATGTCCTCTACCAAGCAGTTTGATTTACACGGGCTCATCAAACAAACCGGGAGTTTCATTCCACCCTTTTGTGCTAGGATACATAAGATGGGTGGGGTATCCCTACAAAGTTTTGCATCATGCAATGAAACTGTTTAGTGAAGGACCGGAATTGTGGTGTACTTTTTGTCCGGTTTGGATGTCTGTTTTTCTGTCTTACTCTCTCTCTGGAAATGTAGAGCTTTGCTCTGTAGTGGAACAAATACAGCTAATGAAAGCACCAATCTACACTGTTCATGACAATTTTCTAACTACACCAGAATTTGCAGCTGAGATTCCTACTATTTATAGTAAAGTGTTTCTTGAGATAGGGCGTCCATTAAAATCATAAACGCCTTTCTTATAGAGAATATTTCTTGGAATAGTCTTCCTACATCTTGGGACCATTTTCCTCTTCCTGAGGACCATATTAAAATTGGAATAGTCTTCCTACATCAAGCCTCAATAAATTGTCTTATTTTTGAGACACTGAAATTGGATGGTTTGGGTGAGCATTATGAACCTGAAAGTCTTGATTTAAGAGAGGACATAAACATCTAAGATGTTGATCCTTGGGATACTACATATACGGGCAAATGACGTTTTAGGTCAGTAGGTATCAAGGGTTCTCCACAAAGTAGTTTGGGAGGGAGTATAAGTTTTTATTAGATTGTTGAACAATTAGCCAAGGCTTTGATATGTTAAAAATGTGAGCGGTGAATTAGACCTAGAGGGCAAGTGAATAGGTCTTAGGGATATTAATTTTGAATTTCAGTTAATCTTTTGGTAGTCATGCTTATTGTTTTTCGAATCCAACCTTCACATACATAACCATGCATCCATAAAAGTACAATAAGAGCGACACCAGACTTTTATGTTGAAAACTCTAAACAAGGAAAAATCTTGGGTCCTCATCCAGTTAAGAACAATTCACTACATGAGAAAGAAGTTACAACTAGGTTAACCATTCCCTCACCTTAGAACCCCTAGCTTACAACACCAAACTTTCTACTCAAGTCTCTAGACCGTTCGTCCGTTCCATCAACAAACTTCACTCTTCACGAAGCTGCTTCTCCAATGCTTGTCCTTCCTCCTACTCAAATTTCTGATCTGTGTATTAGAATGCCTCGATATACTGATAAATTCCTCCTTGATGAATGCTCAATCACATACGATGGTGTCTAAGAAAACCTAGATCGAGTAATTGGGAATTTCTCTCTAAATGATTAGAGGCTTAAAACCATACTCTAGTCTGACTATAACTCCATATTTATAACAAAATTAGGTAGCCCTTACGTTTTGGTAAGTTGAATCCTTGTAGAAATATATTTTAAGAGAGTTTTCAAAACTATACCTCCACAGGGATTGATCGATCAAGGCATCGACCGACACATACTGCCAAACTGCTTGATCAATCGAAGCATACTGGATTTAAATAAAAAGATTTTGGGAAAAATTCAGTTGATCCATCTATCAATCAAAGTCTATGAAAGAGTCCTTTGATTGATCGACCTGTTGATCACCTACTATTTCTCAATAAAAAGTTGATTTTAAAACCTACTAAAAATCAGTATTTTGAAAATCTATTTATCAAAAACAAGTTTAAGTAAATATTTTGAACTTTTCCAAGATCCAAAGTAGGATTTCTAAGGTCATTTATCTGTGCCCTAGATATGTGATTGAGCATGCAAATTTCTCCTCATGGTCTTGGCAAATCTGTCTGCATTGTCTTAGATTGTTGTGCTCATATGATTCATGACACTTTGACAAGTTACAATCAATGTTTTGAGTATGAAATTGCCTACACATGACTCATATACCTAACAGATCCAATGAGGATTTCTGTTGAGATTTATTAGGTACTGTCTCTTCATTTCATGGGATGATGGGAGGCAGAATATGTTTAAGACAGTACAGGGCGACTTTATTGTTGTATCAGTTCTCTTCATAGTTTTTATGTAGGCTACACTTCAAACTACTGTACATGCATTTATATGAAGTTTGTGGCTTCTATGTACTTACAATTTGTGTTTCTCACAGGTAATGTATGACGCAACTGGTGTTAGATTTCATGCAGGTCGGCAAGCTGAAGTAACACCTCTTTACCTGATACTTTTTCTTTCTTTTCAGTTGCCTTTATAATCCAATGCTTATTCAAGTCTATACTTGGGAGGGTGGAGAAGCTTGTAAAGAAAGAAAAAAGGATCACACCAAGATTATGTTTTTTTTTTTTTTTTTTTGCCCTTCCATCCTAAAGACCTAATTACTTTTGTTTTTGGTTCTTCCCTTGCAATTCTTGGGGAGACCTGGTCCACTTAATTTTGCCAAAATACATTAAAGGCATATTATATCTAAATAATGCAATAGATGTGAATGTACCTATGTTTTTTTTCCCCTGTTGTGTCTTTTTTTTTTTTTTCTCTGAGAATATAATCATGCATTATGCTTTTTTGCAGATATTGAATCAAATTGTGTGTGAGCTGCCTCCTGAACACCCTGTTTCTTGTGTTAGGCCTCTACGAGATTCACTTGGTCATACTCCACTTCAGGTACCTTGGAATCATTTTCGTCCTATTAAATGTTATTGTGTCCTTAAATAATTGGAGGCTCATTGCCATTAGATTATTTCATCTCCATATGTTGGAGTTATCTATAGGCTTGTTCTTGTATTTAATTATCTTCTTGGTAGCTGGAATGTATTTTTATACATTTGCTTTCTTGTTGGATGATGGATTCTTAATTACTAGTACCTCCTTTTCTGGTCTTGAATTGCCTCTCCTTGCACCTGGTGTAACATAAAACGTCAGGTGATAGAACCTGTTTTCATAAGTCCTTTCTGTTGATGTCAAATAATTTGGTAGCACATATTTTCCTAGTTCTTTAAGTGCAGTGATTCTTGTGATGGAAGTATAAAGTTTCCTGCAGTATACCAACTAGGCCTATTTTATTGGTAGTACATCATTGCAGTTGATGATGGGATTCTTGTTCATCAAAGAAGCAATTTGGGGGATATCTGTACATTCTTTATTAAAGGCTAATAATGTACATTTCTGGAGTTATTTCAAAATCTATTATAATTAGGATGTGGCAGGAAGTCACTTCGAGGAACAATGATTGCTTATAGCCTGTGGATTAATTTTTCCTTCATTAGACGTCCATTCTGTTGAAAGTGAAAAACTGGTGAAGTTAACAATGCGATAGATGTTAATTGATCTTTCTGTATAAAGAAGGCCTATTTTACCTTCTCCTTTTGAGCGGTTTGCACATGCTCTTTTTAATGAGTCGCTTAATATTGCTCTTCCTTTTGTTCAAAATACAAGATTTGCTTGAAGTTGTACGTCACTTGTGCTCTTTTTGGTATATGAGGGATTGAAATCGGAAGGAGTGAACGGGAGGAGAGATGGAGAAGCTATTCCTAGGGTAAGGAAGGATCCATCTTTTTTGTTTGCTTGAGGAGGAAAAAGGAATGTCATGATTTTATTCTTTTATGCCCTTGCTTTTTAAAGGAGTTGCATTGTTTGATGACAAGTCATTAGTCACTGAAGTTATTGCGTGCACAATCTTAATAAATCTTGATTATAAGTAATAATATTTAAATGAATGTTGCAGTGGTTCATTTTTGTTGTGTCCCTTGAGGAATTCTCCTGATCTACAAAAATTAATGTTATTTTCAAATTCCTTTATATTTACTGGAAAATCTTTGTTCCATTGAGATTGGTGTAGGTCGGTGCAGGAGCTTTATTGGGATGTTCAGTAGCATACCTCATGAAAAACTCCAATTAATGGGATGGTATGCCAATTTACTGCTCTTCCACCACCAAACATTAAGGAGGCTTCTCAGCTTTTTTATGGTAGCAACCGCATCATTATTTTTCATACAAAGAAGAATCAGAAGAAAAGGCGATAAACTGAGAATTGAGGTTCTGATTACTGAAAGCTTGTTTAGTTGTACTTTATTTCAAGTGTTGCTTCTAATGCTTTCTGTGTGTATCATAGTTTGTCAAGGCTGCTTGATTTTTTTGTATGTTCCATTTTTCTGCCAATTCAACATTCAGAGGAAGCAAGGGCTTCCAAAATTACCATTGTTTATACTTTCTGATAAATGCAATTGATTTTATCTGCTTTCAAACGTTTTACAGAACGAGGGAGGGTACAACAGATCCAAATGTGGCACTTCTTCATTTATGTTTCTGTTTCGTCATTTTTGTCCTGAAGTTTTTTAATGTAGAACAAGTTCACATTAACATTAGTCCAGAAAAAACCTATACAACCTACTCAACTATTATGAGCATGGCTCATTCCATGTGTTTGAGCACTTTGATCTGAGATGTTTACAAAAATTTTACTTATTTACTCATCACAAGTGACAATGCAAGTGAGATCCATGCGAGTGTGTACACATTTGTGTGGAATGTGCATAATAGACTCTTACTTGAGAGAAAGGACATGGAATGTCTCGGGTATTGTTTGGTTTATTGTTTGATGTAATAAAAACATTGAATGCCAAACACAAGAATGTAATTTTGAGAGCAGTCAGTTTTACAGAGAGTAATATAAAATGGTAGATATGTAGGTGAGACCAATAATATGGTTCTAGTAGCAATGAGTATAGGAGAGAGTGAATGAAATAAGATTGATGGCTTTGGTCCTACAACCTCTTTTAAAAGGAGAGGTTATGTACACTCACCAACCATTGGATTGAATTTTTCCACTAATGATGCCATATCAATGATTGATGGGTGTGCAGGACCTCTCTTTTCTTGGAGAGGATCCTTGTCCACAATAATAGGCCATGTCTTAATGAAAAATAGAGTAGACTCGGAGTTTCAAGACTACAGACAATAAATTTGAGTGTGACGGTGCTATCTTATTGTTGTCCATTTGGATGATCTAATGCTTTCAACAAGTCAAGCTAGGAAAAGTGTAAAGTTTTGGATAGACTCAAAAAAACACATGGTAGAAGATTTGCCGTATCTTGGCCACAAATAGGGGCAATGTGGAAAAGTACATGAAGGAGGCTCATGGTCTACATTCGTTTCACTTTCTTGATCCACTTTTATTGGGTCCAAGATCTAATAAATAACCTGGGAATAGGAAAGGCATGTGAAATAGAGGACCTTTTGAATAAGAAAAGATCATTCAATTAAGAATTGTGGGGTCCTAGTGTCCAAACACTCCAAATAGAGAGAGGGAGGCATACCATTTTGAGAACATGAACAAAACAAGTAAATCTGATCCTAAAATGAGAAAAAGAAGGGAAATTGGAGCTCCTTCAAGTTTAAAGAAGCATTCATAGGGTCAGTGAAATTGGGCCATCAATGGTCAAAGGAGGCCCATTAATTCAGCCCACATAAGACATTTTGAGGCAAGTGGGCCGTGAAGGTGGAGAGAAAGGGGACCATGTATGCACTACAAAGGCAAGTGGTGAGACTTGAATGGAGAAATTCTCCTGAATTTTTAGCTACCAACCGCTCTAAATGAGCCCAAAAAAGATCCGAAAGGCTCACTTATGGGTCCGTATTGGGGCCCACATCCACTAACCGTAGGTTCACAAAAGAAACGGCCAAGAGTTGGCTTCTTCAAACCAAGAAAAAAAGTGGTAAAAAAGAGAATATGCCTCCACCGACCTTATCAAATCTTTTGCCCCCGATTGAAGTCGGATCTCTTTCCCTCTTGCATGTTGCTTGTCTTCACATATCTTTTATTTAGCCTCTCATTATCATGTCCTCAAGGTTGAAAATCTCTTTTCCTTAAACAATCCTTTCAATGCTATCTAGCTATCCAATGGATAAGGATCTCCTCAGGTTTTTATTATTATTACTATTATTATTTTGAAAAAGAGAATTTTTTTTTAAGACAAGAATGTTACAGGGGTTAGTGGGGAGGGGAGAGGGGTGCGAATGTTCGAAGTCCGGGACAACGAGAAATAATGGGCTTGCTTGGCTTGTAACTTTGAAAACAGTTTTGAAGAATTCAAAGAACATAAAACAGTTTTCAGAAAATAATAAAAGATAGTTCTCTGAACTGAGTTTTCAAAAAACAATTTTCAGAAAACTGAACCAAATAAAATTTTTTCGTACAATTTTCTGAAAACAAAAAATTATTCTCAAAATTACAAATCAAGTAAGGCCAACCTTACCACTTGAACTAGGAAGGGGTTTGAACAAAAAAAGTGGTTCAAAGTTGCATCCAATGACTCATCAACACAAGTTTATTGTTGTTAGAATGAGTTATTGATGTCTGTGGGAGCCGTTCCATGGGTGCTCAGACATTCTTCTTTACTAGAGACGACTATTGCATATAATGTGCCATCTTGTTTGATGTAGTAAGAAAGTACGAGGATGTGTCAATTAGAGTTTGAATTTGAGAACGTCAATTGGGTGCAATGGAAAAAATTTCTAACCATATGCCAGACACATTCAAAATTTAAAATAATTACTTTATATAAATAATATCAAATACTCCCTCCGTCTCAAAATAAGTGTTATCTTTGGTATTTGTGACTCACAACAATGTGAGTCACAAATACCAAATGCGACACTTAATTTGGGAGGGAGGGAGTATTAAATTAGTCTTGTATATATATATATATATTTTCTTCCAGAAAGCACTTAACTTAAATCTTTTGCATAAAATACCCTACCTATGCAAGATATAATTGGACCTAGAAAACATGACGGTCGAATAAGGAATGGAGCCTAGGGGGCTCACCACAACTCTTTGAAGGCCGAATGACCAATCAAGAGATAGGGCATGTGGGGATCAACGTAAAGGTCGGCTGACTGAAAAAGAGATCCCCGCGAGGTCGACTCCTGTGCAATGGTGGAATCTCTAAAGACCGAATGGCCGAACAAGAGATAGGCCCACCACTCTTTGGAAGAGTAAGGAATTTTCCCAATTGGATAATGTCCCCCCCTCTCCCCACCTATATAAATCTCCACAGGCCCATGCATCCATTTCTACTAGCTACCACAACTATACATTGCTATTCATTCCCCTTTAGTCATCAACCTAATCTTCACAGAACAAAAGGCATGGACACAAAGTTTCAAATTCTGAAGCTCTTTCTCATAGTTGCACTCCTCATCATAACACCTCTTCTCTCCTCATCTCTAAGGCCCACATATCTCTACTTTGTCTTCAACCTTCTCATTATCGCACTTGGAGCAGAAGCTGGCCTTCTCAAGTTCTTCTCCAAAGCTGCAGACGACAAGAAACCACCTCTCTTTCCATCCAAACCCGTGGTCTCTCTCTCCTCAGAAGCGTCTCCGAACACCACCAACGACACCATCACTACTCCTGAATTTAGTCCTAAGAAGCCAAGGGTGGTCGAAAAATCGTCATCCGAGAAGATTGTTGGCACTGTAAAGGGGCGCGGGGTGAGGAAATGCCCCTCCACACCGAGCCTTTTCTTTATAGGAGGCGCGGAGGTTGAAGCCGAAGAGCTAGTGGAAGCTGATGATGAAGAAGAAGAAGAAGATGGAGAGGAGCTAAGTGGGCAAGAGCTTTTTACGAAAGCCGAGATGTTTATCGGAAACTTCTATAAGCAACTGAAGATGCAGAGGGAAGAGTCATGGAAGAGGCTTCATGGGCTTTATCACAAAGCCTTTTGAGCAGTACTACTCTTAATTTCTTCTGATCACTAGCTATATATATATATATATCAACCTAAGATCATTGAATTTAATTTAGGACATTATGTTTAAGAAAAGGGGAACCATACTTTTTCAGATTTATGGTTCTTCCAAACAGGTTGTTCAAGATTTAGTTCACCTAGCTCCCACACCCTGCATATATAGGGGTAATTCACAATCTCTCTCTCTCTCTATATATATATATATATTACTGGTCAAGTTGTTATGCATGCATTTTTGTCCTTCAATATTTTGTACAAATTTTAGACATGGTAGTGTTATATATTAAAAGAACATGAAGGATTGAATGTATGGATTTAGAATATGGATTTTAGTTATATATGGTTTTATAATTAATGCATATCATTAATCTTTTTTCCTGGTGTTCCTTAATTTGTTCTTTTGTACAACCTTATGGACCAACTCTAACTGATACCTTAATTCATCCGAGAAATTTCCATTCATAATCATAAATGTTTATCTGAATAGTGGTAGTGTGTCGTGTCGTGTCATGTGTGTGTTTTTTTTTTTGGGGTAAGGATGTTAGATAAGTTTGTTATATTGTTCTTTCATGGTATCTCTGTAAATATATATATGACAAACACCAAGATCAATAATTAAGCATGCATTTCATTTATCAATAAAATTTGTAAAAGACAAAAAATAACATACATATGATGTCGAAGAGTAAGAGAAGGCTAAGGGTGGGCAAGGAGAGAATCTTAGGATGAATTTTTTAATATAGGTTGAGATAAAAAAAAATACAAATGAGTCATATATGCATATTAAGGAACAAAAGGAAAAAAAAGCGCGTGGAGATAAGGATGCTTTAGTATAGAAATGCTAAAATCACTATGGTCTGCACATGTGCAAAAGGCTAAATTTGGGTGTTGTCAATACAGTTAACAAACGACGCTATGACACACACACACACACACACACATGCATATATATATATATGTAACATCTTGCTTTCATGGAAGCATTGTGATTAGTAATGTATTAATGTTAGCAACTGACTATGAATATATATACATTTGAATAGATGAACATGATAAATCTTCAAGTGCATTGGAAATTTGGAAGTTTTTGCTTTCCCCATCTGTATACTTTGCTGAATCACTTGCATGAATTAACTATGGTATTTCTAACTTGCATACAAAAAAAATAAAAAAAATAAAAAAAAAAATAAAAAAAAATAAAAAAAAAGGGGTAGAAGAAGATAATAATCTCATATTCAAATGGCAAAGTGAAAGCACCCGGCCCATTACACTAGTCCACGAACAATAGTATGGCGAAAATGAAGGCTTGCAGGAACTTCTACTTTATATATACCAATTAATCCAATTTTTCGTAAAATATATTATATTCTCTCCGTCTCAAAATAGTTGGATACTTACAGACTTGGTAAAAGCCAGTAAAATGTCTATTTTTTGCGTAGTGACTTGAAAATAGAAAAATGAATGAGACATGAAGCACATTGTATTTGTACTCTACCTCATATGTGCTATGCATGTCTTGTAATGAAGAAATGTAGTGAGCAATTTCAATAATTTTGTCTTGTTGGTTTTCTTTGAAGTTATTTCTCAGAAGTTCAAAGAATATTGATGGCAGCCTTCATACATTGAACTTAACCCCTCTTCTCTCTAGCTTACTGTGTGTTTGTTAACACCTCTTCTCTCTAGCTCACTGTGTGTTTGTGTGTGTCCATTTGCGTGTATAGTACGTACACCATGGACTTATGTGCTGGGTAAGTTGCCAGGAATGTTCTTGATATCAGTGTTTTGCTAAGATTTTCTCCTCTCTTTTTTTGAATATTCTCCTTTTTGTTATAAAGGGGACCCCCCTTTTGTCTTTTTAATGTGTGGTAATGAGTGGAAATAGAAACCTTCTTCCTTTCACTCTTTGCTTTCGTAACTTTCAAATTCCATTTGTGTCTTTTGTGTGTGTGTGTGTAAGCAGCCTCGTCACATTCTTACCTTGCTTTTCTATGTTCCCCATTTATGTTCTCAAACAGCCTTTATATATATATATATATATATATATATATGCATATGTTTTCTGTTAATCTTTAGCTAAAATCGGATTTTACAGCTACAATTAAATGACAGGAGAGGTCTTAATTTTACTTGAGCTAAGTTCGGTAGCATAGAATTGGTGTTTTGAAATTGAAAAAAATAAAATTGATTCAAGCTTTAAACTATACTTTTTTTCCAATTCTAATTTCAATGCACCAATTTTATGTTATCGAACATAGCATTTTTGAATTTTAGGTCCAAACTGGAGTTTGAACTATGGTTCAAGCACCCTAGTAGGCACGATAAGTCCATGTTAGAACTCGTTTGCTTCCAGCTAAACTATTAGTAAGAGTTAGAATCAGTTTAAAAAGTTGGAACTCTCAGAATTTTGAACTGCATTTTCAAATCAGAGCTTTCGAGTCCTTGCAACTCTGCATTCAGAAAACGCAACAAAAGTTAGACAAAGAAAGAACAGAAGCTAGAATTATAACATTGTTTGAAAATCAAGCAAAAACACACACATATAGAAATAGGAGAAAAAAACAGAGAAACAAAACCAGTGATCTCTTGATTATTCTCTGATCAAATACTGTATTCTGAACCCTAAAATCATACCAAGAGATGTAGGAACCAACGGGCAAGTGTCCTAGAGGTATCAGTCTTTGACCTCCCAAAGGTTCAAGTATTAGAAGAGACATGTGTGTGTGAGTACCAACTCAAAAAAAAAAAAAAAAAAAAAGAAAAAGAAAAAGAAAAAAAATGTAAGAAAGAGATATTGAGAGAGAGAGGTAATCGTTCGTCTGTGTGTGAATGTTTGTTCACAATAATTTCTATGAAAACCCAATCCATCATCTTCTTTCTAGTTCAAATTCTTCCTTTTGCCTTTAACTTTTTTTCTTATAGAAAACTAATTTATTTATTTATTTTTATCAAGCTTTCACGTCACAAATCATGTTGAAATCCTCAAAACTCACTAATCTTTACTTTTCATTCACCGCATTGATTCGTATGAATTTCAATCTATTTTTGTATTTACAGGTCCAAGTTACCTTCAATTTATGTTCAATGCCATGGAAAAGGATACTCCATATTGGACTTTAAAGTACAATTTGCAAATAAATAATTTTGAAGTTGAACTTAGATCCTATCTGGTGTACTATACTTTGCCATACAACTATATTAAAAATGGGCAGTGCTAAATTGAAATTCATTTTTAATCCAATTTCAATGTATTTGCTTGATACAGGAATTTGGAAGCATCATTTTTTATTTATTTTCAAAATCTCCAAGTAAAATAAAGAAGAATTACATAAAACTTCTTCAAATTTTGATAAGAGACACTAACGAATCAGTGGCCCAGCAGTCTTCTTACTTTCCAAAAAAATACCAGGATTCTCTTTTTGTGCCCAATTTTGAATTAAACAAAGAATGTCTCATCCAACCTCTGGTGTACAAATGATCATAACAAACATTACTTGCTCATAAAAATATTTGAAAGCCAGATTACTACTCTACACGAGATGCTAAGGAAAAAATTATGAGCGTTGGAAGATGATAATAATAATAATAACCTGCGAACTTCACCTACATATGTTAATCAAATTGGAGCTAGAGATGACATTAATATACTCCACTGGAGATGTTAATCTCGTATGAAACTTTGGAATTTTTATTTCCTTTTTCTTTTAGCTGTCACATGGCCAACATAAGAAAAGTTGATAACATACCAAAAGTGTCTAATTTTTGGCCAGAAGAGAACCAACATAAAGCCATTTAGATATTTAGTGCCTCACAGTAGTATAGAAACTGAACTAGACACCAAAGTACCCAAACCACATTGTACTGCCTAACATGTACTGGCTGTATCTTTTCTTGTGAGGGTCATTGTCCAACAATTTATTCAAGTGGAGTTTTTTTATTCTTTTTTTTTTCATATTCTATATATATATATATTGGCTGTGTGTGTGTGTATAAAGGGAGGGAGAGATCATTTTCAATATTATTCTTGTGTTACTATCAAGTATCAAGATTTGGGTTGGCAAGGAGGAAACCTAGTTCCCTGCTCTAGGATTTTGGTTAAGCTTGGTGAGTTGCCTTGAATGCTGTTGGCATTACATAGATTTTCTAAGATTTTATCTTTTTGAGAGTTTTGGTTTACTATGTTAAAAAGGTGAAGCCCTTTTTTTTTTTTCAGCTTTGTGGTAGTGAGCACAATATGAGACATTCTTGCTTTGGCCTCAAAACTTAATATTCCCCCAATGTGTCTTGTGGCCTGTGGGGGCCCACAGAGAGGCTGCTTACACTTGCACACCATCTTCACATTCTTATCTTGCTTGTGATGCTCACTCCACCTTTACAGTCCTGAAGGGAATGGATGCCTTCCCATGAAGCTCATAGAATCACTTTGTACATAATAATGTTCAAAAAACAGATAATCAACATTAGTCATGCAATTTTATTGTGAGCATTGTGAGCATATGTCACCTCTTGTTTTTTTTGAAAAAAAAAAAAAAAAAAACCTACAAAATTTCTCCAATTTCTGAATCACAATTCATGCATTTCAATCACATTCAATAGACTTGGATGATTCCATATTGAGTAGCAAACTCACTTTCTACTCATGGTATATGATTAAAATGGATAAGAATTGGATAGCTTTGAATTTGGCTTCTCCGATCCCTGATGGTCCTGCATTTCATGACACTTGAGATCTTATACGACACAGTTTTGCTTCGATTTTTAGAAAAAGTTGCAACAGCAAGAAAGTTGAAAGAATATATCAAAATAACTTGAGTAAACTAGATAATGAATGTTTTGCCAGTCCACATTTCCCATATACATTAGTTTACTAACCAGTACCCTAGATTGCGATAAAAATTAGATAAATAAACATTGGCAATGCCTGGCTACAAGTAACAACAGAAGACGATTTCAAAAAACATGGCATGTCAATTTAGTTCACCAGCATATGATCAAATCCTCCCCCAGCCTGTAGGGCAACACGGGCCCCTTGAACGTTGTGAAGCAACTGTTGTAGCCACCTCCTTGTTGTTTGATCTTCCTGAAAACACAGACCATCAAAATCAAAATCCACAAGATTAAAACAGTAGGGAACAGAAGGGCTTTTTTACATGCAGAAGAGATAAAGTTTATCTCGCACTGCAACAAAGACGTGTAGGGTGCGTGGTGGTGTGGTCCAGAGTTCAAATATCATTCGTCAGAAATTATATAAATATTGTATATGTATGTGTGTGTATAGGCTAGTCAAGCCTTGTAGCTGTTGGACAAATTGTAGCATAATAATGTGTTTCCCTCATTGAGTAGACAAGCTGCATCAGACAAGTCCCATGAGAAAAGTTCAGTGGAAATAGTGGCAAGTGTTCTACTGTGTAACACTAGAATGCACAGGATCGTGCATTGTGTGGACAGTGCAGTACCATAGTAGCGCATTGTAGGAGACACTTGGCACTTAGGCGCATGTGATTGTGATCGCACACGCACTTGTGAAATGTCTGTGTTACAGAATCAACTGTAGGGAACAGAAGGGCTATTTTACATGCAGAAGAGAGAGTTGATCTCGCGTTACAAATTATATAAATATAGTATAAGTATGTATGTGTGTGTGTGTGTGTGTGTGTGTGTGTGTACGCTATTCAACCCTTGTAGCTGTTGGGTAGATTGTAGCATAAAGTTTCCCTCGTTTAGTAGACAAGCTGCATCATACAAGTCCCATAAGAGAAGTTTTCAGAACTTTTCTATGGTTAATAGTGGCTAGTGTTCCACTGTGCAACACTAAAATGCACAGGATCGTGCATTGCATGGACAGTGCGGTGCCATAGTAACGCATTGTAGGAGACACTTGGCACTTAGGCACATGTGATTGTGATCGCACACACTTGTGAATTGTCTGTTTCAGAATCAACTGCAACTGAAAACTGTCAAACATCCAAGTAACAAATTTTTTAAAGTCGCGATTATTTAAATGGTGACTATTGAAGATTAAATTTAGACCATCTGATTGAGTAGTTGCATATGTTCGGATAGTGGCTTCATAATTGATAGTCAATTTTCAGTTTAAAGTTGTAGCCATTGGTCCAAAAATCGATGTACAATGCTCTCTCTCTCTCTCTCTAAGTTATATACTTCATATAATGTTCGGGAATGTGGAATTCTGAGTGTCCTGGAGGTGTTTTGACAAGAACATCTCAACAACTTTACAGGGAGTTGGGGCAAAAACACCTTTAAGGACAAGGTTATTATTCTACACACCTCAAAGCCACGGATTATTTTTTCTGATTCTTCTTCACATTACTTTAATGGAATTTATAATAACATGTCTCACCAAAGAGATTAAGGAGGTACTTTCCCCCCTCAAAGTGGTAAATCCAAAATTTCCAACAAAAGACAAAGCTATCTCACGATGGCAATAACATCTGAACCAGCACAGCAAAATTTTGAGATAGCCCAGTAGAATCTTACATAGCTAAATTCAATGTTCTATGACTCCCAGCACTTGCATACTCGATATACACTAACCTCCCCTGAAGAGATGTGTTTATACCACATAGTAAAGAAGCAAAGAAAAAAAAAGAAAAAACCCTCCTATTAACCTTGATAATTAAGATTTGCTGTGTTTGAAAGGAAATGCCTTAGTTGACCCATTGTTCTGGGACTCTGAAAAACGTTCAGTTACATCTCAAAGAAGCACTGGGCCAGTAGCTTAGAACAGAAAGAAATTAACAACCACTGGTATAACAAAGAATATTATGACCGTATGATGCATCAAATTGATGAGCAACACGAGCAATATTAAGTTTTTGATAAGTACGAGTAATATTCAATGGTCCTTAGGACTCCATATTGGATTCATGATTATTATAAGTGCGACGTAAATCATATGAGGGAGCAACCATAAGCAACTACCTAAGGTACTTACACGGAGGCAACTATTGAAGGTGGCATCTCTTAGCATGTCTGGAAGGCAACTTCTTAATGCGTCACAAGCCCTGTGTTATGTAGACCAAGGACCATGGCTTCAGTAAACGTTAAATGGAAAATCAAAGGGGAGATAAATGTGGAGCCAGCATTACATTATTACAATTGTAATTGCAAATAACAAAATTAATTGAAATCACACTATTTACCAACCTTGGATTATCAGATAGCCGAAGGTAACAACGAATAATATGTTTTAACAGCCTTGATGACGGTTGTTCTGCAAGTGCTGCAACCATATTCCCCAAAACTCGGCCTACTGCAAAAAACCGCTCTGCTGTAGTGCATATATAATCCAAGCCCACATCATCCAGTAGAATTTTTTGAACTATAAATGTGGCAACCTGACGGCATAAAACTTCAGTCAGACTTCAATCAACCTGATAACCAAGACCAGGTATTTGTAGGAAGACATTATTGAGTTGATTACAAAGCTGGTGACCTTTGTACATGAGATACTTAGGAATTCCAAAGTTTGAAGATCATACACTTGCTTATATTCTAAGGTAGTTGTCAGATCATTTGATTAAAGATTTCACACAAATTAATGAGGAAGCCAATTGGAAATAGTGAATTTCCAGTGAAAGGGTACCACTGAGTTTAATTATTCCACCACATATTTATAGGTGTCTGTTGTGCTGCCCTCCTACTTTGATTGACAGTCACATGTATCTATAATGTGGAACATTTGAGCACTATGTTGTAAATAAGGGTTCCATTGTTTTTGGAAAACAATTTTACGCATTTAAGTGTTCTGCATATCAAATGGAGCAAGGCTGTTTTGAATGCTTTTCTCCAGAATTGTTTGAAATATGGGCATTTTTTAATCTAATTACGGTGACTATATTTTGTATTTTCTGTGATTGTAGTGTTGTGAACTCAGAATGTTTATTGTTAAATGCATTCAGCTTGTTTGAAATACAATTAATACTGCATTCAGCAATCTGGAATCCAATCTTGAAATTGGAACTGAAGATCATCAATAAAGAAAAACATTCAATTTATAGAGGAATATCTTTTCAAGATCCACAATGGCAACCCGCAAGACAGTGTCTAACAATCTCCGCCAAGCCAAGAGTCATCAGTGGGTATAAATATACGGAGACAAGCACACTACTTTTCCACTCAAATGGAATTTCAACTCTCACTTCTATTGCAGCATCTATTACCTAAAAATCAAGGAATCCAACAGTGTGCTTACACCAATGACATTCCATCTAAAAGACAAGCATGCTTTAGATGGTACATGTTGTACCAATGTCGTGGTACCACCATAGGCCTCCCAAATGATTTTCTGTATAATGGAACTAGAACAATATTAAGGGAATTTGAAGCCGTATTGCAGGACGTGACACTAAAAGGACACGAATCTAACACATTCTGAGTTGTAAAACATCTTTTTCAAATATAACAGTACAAAATTGAGCAGAATTTTTTTTTGACAAATGCTTTTTAATTAGCTGGAAAATAACTTTACCGTGAGGAATTAAAAAAATAAAAATTTATTATCCGTATCAGATTTAGGCATTACCTAGATCTAATAATACAATCAGATGGTAAAAAGATATCAATCTGCAGTAGATAGAAAATGGAAATAGTGAAATTACTGGCATATTTAACGAGAGAAAGAACAATGTAAGAAGCAAGGAAAAATGCATTCAGGAAACACTCAACTGTTTTCGATAATTCACTTCCCATCTCCATCGTACGAAGGCACAGTGGAATTATTTCTGTTGAGAGGAGAAAACTAATCACCTCTGTATCATCAACCTGAAAAAGAAAAGGACCTAATGTTTTGATTTCCAAGATACTTGAAATATAAGAAAGTAACGGATCTGACGAACAAGAGCAAGAAAATAAGCGCTATCAAGTGCACTAAGATTGCAACATTCCTTTTCATGGGAGAGAAAGATCACTGCACACATAGGTGGACCTGCATGGGAACAAAGGGGGACCATGGCTCCCCAAAGTTTTGAGGGGAGAAAAACTAATATATAGGTACCTACATATAGTAAATTTCACAAAATAAAATTTTTAATTTGGTCCTCCAAGGCTTACAAAAAATCTTAATTTGAACTCCCTTTTACCTTATTTTTGGAAGCCTGCATTTTAAAAGGGGTCAACAAAATCTAAATATAATCAGTATTTCAATTTTCTTCTCATTTTATAAAATTAAGGGATTATAAAGTACTTTAATATGTGTTACATGGACTTTTCTATTCTCTTCAAATATCCGTGGTATGGATAATGTCTCAGCGCGCACACTCTGATTCTCCTAATGTTATGGAAGAAGATGAAAAAACTCAAATTTTATAATAGAGAAGGGTTTCCTACTTGTGGGACGGACAGGAACATCTTTTTTTCACATCCTATCTAATTTAAATTCTAATTGAGTATACCTTGAAGAACAATTACATCGTACACTAGAATATATAAAATAAAATGTATTTACATGCCTAGAATGTGTCCATGTGCCCATACCCAAATTTCTTATACTTTTTTCCGTATCCTAAGATTCAAGAATTAGGGAGGTCCGAGGTCCAGCACTGAAACACAAACCTGCACCTGATATTTGGTACCCGATTCCAAGCTTTTAATTTTTTGTAATACTTTAAATATTCTTTTGTATTAAGAATACATGTTAAGAGTTTTATTGGAAAAAGTAAAAAGAAATACAATACGTGTATTTTATTTTTATATTACTAAAAAGGAAACAAAATAAGGTTTAGAATCCAAAACTCAAACTGACAAGCAAGAGGACACTGGTTCAAGACTCATAGCAATCACTTTATATAAAATAACAAATAATTAAAATGTTAGTTATCTGGCTAGTCTTCCACTCCTAACACCCCATGTAGACGGGGGACATAGACTGGGTGATGGGACTTCTCAAGGTTGCATGGAAATTCATATTTTTTTCCTGCAATAATTTTATTATAAGCAGCCGTGCATAACTGCATATAGACATTGTCAAAAGGAGTTAATAATTCTTTTATTTATGTATGTTGTAACTGCTTATGTTCTGTTAAGTTTTGTCCATTGACGCTAATTTAACTAAATATCTGCCCAATGAAAAAAGAGAAACACAGAAATCCATCTCAAACTAGTTATTGAGTGTTTTTCAGAGCCAGAAAATAAAAAGATACGCAATAAAACAATAAAACACTCCTCAGTCTTTTGCATAGGCTGGCAGGTTGAAGGTTTTCCCTGTATCTAATCTTCAATGCTAACAAGGCTTCATCTTGATTCACTTCTAGCAGAATATAGAAATATATCTTCTTATTACTTGGTCAAGAGATACAGATATATACTATCTTGATCAAGATCAAAAGTTGAGAGTCATTAGATCAGAAGCTTTGTCTTTGAGTCAAGCTTATAGTCAAGATTAGGTAGACGAAATTTCTTGGTTAATTAGACAAAGAAAGTAAAATTTGACAAGGCAATCTGCATGCACACATAAACTGGGCAGCTAAAGTAGCAGAAGTTAGGTGCACAAAAGTTCTGTATATTTAGATGAAGACATGAATTAGCTTAACTTTGTTTACGTGTTATTTGCTTTTAAAAATAGTTCCTAGATCACAAGTTACAATCTGGCTGTACCTGGTAAGTTCCTGTTAAACGTATATGGTGTATCAGGCTTTTTCAGGAATGTATTTTGCATTTGCAAGTTTTATGCACCACTTAACATAAAAATGCTTAACTACCACATAAAAACAAACAAAACTACAAATGAAACATAAAAAATACCACCACCAAGGCCAAAGTACCTTCACCAGGGCACCAATGACGCCCAAGCTAGTAAGCCTCAAGTACTCAAAAGGCCTTGATTTGCTTGTTGTGTTAAGAAAAGGATACAGATATAAAGGAATATGAGCTGCAAAAGAAAGAAGGTCAATCAAAATAATATCATTAAATTTCAACTGACTTTTGTAAATATATGCATCTGTTTTAAGAACTAGCCACATAAAATATGACACATCTGTATTTACCCTAAAGAGCCTAAACATAATGCTCAGTGAGAAAAACTCTGACGTCCAACTCTTGTAGCTAAAATTCAGATGCTAAGATACAAAGTCAAAAACTGTATATAAATGGGTAAAAATATGTCAATATGCCAGCATATGGGTAACCTTCGGACACTGTGTCACGTTGATGCAATCAAATTCACATTTTTCAAGAAGTGCATGAAGCACAAGGACGGATGGAAATCCCACAGAAAGGTGTTTGACACGCAAAAGCAAGCATATATGAGACAGATATCGGTGTAGGTACTCAAGATGGTAACTGACATGCCATAGGAGAAACAGATGTTCTCGTTGTAGGTTTGTAGCATAACTTAATGTTCAAATGTGAAACTAACAAAAATGAACAGAACATTATTTGTTCTTCACTTCTTCAGTGTATGAATTACAATGCATTGTTAGGATAGACATTGTTCAGTTAGAACTATAATGCTCCATTTCGTATGAGGGATGATAAATTTATAGAGAAACCAGGAAGCATAGAAAAGGAATCCATAATGAAAGGAAACTTTCTTCCCTTTTTTTTTTGTTCAACTGAGCATGAAAAGGAGGATAAATGAAGGAGTATGACGTTGCTTAATTTTACTGATATACCCTTATGTATTCATACCCTTATGTATTTATGAAAGGATGTAGTTTGAAGAGCAAAAAGAATTATGGTTGGAACTTGGAACATGTCCAAGTCTTACAAAAATGTGATATCTTTAGTAATTTCAATTTAAATTCTAAATTGAATGAAAACTTCAGCAATTCTGACCCATATACATACTGCCAAATTCCAGGGACAAATTGCTCAACATGACGTTTGACATATAGGGTCCAATGTCAACTAAAAGTTGAAGAACATTTGGAAATCAATTTTCTCACTTTTTCAGTATTGCTACTAGCTAGAATCACATATGTTACAAATCAGTGCAATATAACACCCCGCTCCCCGCCCCCCAAAATAATAATAATTACAAATTCAAATTTATACATGATGCTCTGCGATTCAACTTTAAAAAGCAGATACCTGTGAACCAGTCAAACATTACCGAGGGTCTTATATCAGGTGGATATGCATCATATATACCCAAAAAAAAAAAAAAAGGTTTTCCTTTTACATATTAAGCAATGAAGTCTTACAAAATTCCAGATTTCTGCAGGTAAAAAACCTCTGTATGTGTTGATAGAACCAAGAAAATTACCATTGAGGAACAACATTCTTGTGTCTGGATGGGAGGCGACACACTGCAAAAGACATGTACAAAAGTATATATAGCATCAGCAATGCTTCAAAACTATGAAACAAAAATTATCATGAATTGGTTAACCCAAAGTACATCTTTACAATCCAAGCAAGTAATTTCAACTGCAAAAGTAATTGGATAGACCATGGAATGACTATCATATCCGAAAGCAAAAGACGCATCTTTAAATAATTGACTTCAATAAAGCACTTTTTGACATTTTCATTTGCTCTGGCTGTGTAGAGCAAACAATTCCAACAAATTTTAGAAAGGCATTTTGCGACACCTGCATAAGTAACACTTGATTTTAAATTGCATTTCTCGTCACAGTAACAACGGAGGCTTGCATCTTCTTCTTCTTCTTCTTTTGGGTTGGTCCCAGAGCAATGTTTTACGTAGTGGACCAGACTGGCCAGTTCAACTTGATGGACAGTCTACTGGTTCCTTCTCAGCCCGAAAAGCCCATATAACCTTTCTTAACTAAAAATTTCTTTGTTTAATTCAAATTATTCAGACCAAGTGGTTGAATTGATCAACCATACAAACTGCTCACAGTTTAATAAAAAATGTCAACCGAGATCACTTAAGAAACCAATATAATGGCAACCCATTGAGGTTTTCCTGCAAACCCTCAAGGCCTGAAGATGGTGAGAAATTCTGAACACTTCAGTAAACCCTCTTTTAGAGGTCTACTCCAACCTCGCTGTGCTCGGGATTTGCACTTGCGTTGCCCCTCTTGTTCAATCGTGGTCTTTACATGGCCACGTTGTTTGGTAAGAGAGAAGAGAAGATAATATTTTAGAACCCCCTCTTCTGCATGGTTTAATTTGTAGGCCCACAAAAACTATCACCTCAAGAGAAGGTGATTTGGACGATTCAAAGAACAATACAAATGGGGGGTTGTTGGGACTAAAGATTGGACAATAATGGTAAAATAAGTGTTATGAAAATCATACACCAAACTTCTAAGAAAAGAAAATATATGATGATAAGTTTAAAACAAAGAAATTGACATAAAGAACGTTTTGGTATAAAAGGTAAAATATTATACCTGAAGAAGTGCAAGTGCATTACAGACTCTGTTTGATTGTGCCGGAGTCAGGTTTGGTGGTGATAGAACAGGGTATATTGAAACTATCTCCTGTAAGTAGTAAGGAATTCAGGCATCAGTCATAAGAGAAAAGATCGAACATGGTAAGCATCCAGCCAATGAGTCACAAACAAAAGAAGTATCAACTTAAAACTTCAGAACTAGTTTTATGGGTATAGCAGTATACTAAAATAAGTTAGCAGAAAATTATACCATCATATACTAATTAATGAACATGAAAATAAAAAATAATTAGAAGGAAATCAACACCACATTAACATGTAGAATCTGGGACAACAAATTAGGTTGATTACCCTGAAGCCTGCTTGTCCAGCCAGAACAATATCATGAGGAGCCATCAATAAGTTTGGACTAAGGCTGAACTTCCACAAACTTTTAAGCCACAAATCAAGTTTGGACTGAGATCAAGCTATCCTAGCTCAGCCAGCCAATAACATCACAAGGATATATTTGTAATTTTATGTATAAGAATTCCAGAAATAACAATTGGTTTCTTTTCTTCCACTTCTCATTCAATTCCTACAAATAATGGTCCAACTCCTCAATGCTCTTATTAGAAGAAATCATACTTTCATACAATATCTTAATTGAATTATATGTTTTTCTTTGCTTTCATTTTATTTCAAGTAATTTTCATTTGACCAAGCTTTTAATGTCATCAAATTGCTAAAATTCTAACTTGTCCCCCAAGCTTTTAATGTCATCAATTTGTTAAAATTCTAACTTGTTCAGTGAAACTTAATTGAAAGTAGAATAGATAGGAAAATCTTTCAGAGATTCTTTTGATGATTTGTCACTTATTGGATGCTTGTTGATGTCCAGAACATTTTAATAAAATGTAATAATGGAATTTGAGCTTTCTGTAATTCGATCATTCTAAATGTCAATATCTGGGCTCTTGGAAAGGCTTGCCAAGGTTCAGCTTGTTCAAGAAACCCGTAATCCCTCTTGTAGTGCTGGCCAGAGGAGAATAATATGCGTGTACTAGTTAGAAAATGTTAAAAGAGCGAGCATTTTTCAATATGTGAGAATGTAGAAGAAATCAGGGAAGAAGTTCTTAGACAAGTTTTCACTAGACAAACTGATTAGCCAGTTAGACAGTGATATGGAATGACAATTGTAAACCGCAATAAAACTGAATTTATAAGGAAAAATTATAAAGAGTACAAAGCATACCTGTAAGAGTGCAGCAATAGTACCAAAAGAATTCCACAATAACGGAGCCAAATCTTGAAATAGTTCTCTCTTCTAAAAATAAAAAGACCAACAAATACAAGTTTATTAGGCATACTTGTAGATGATCAGCAATAGTACCAAAAAAATTTCACATGAAAGGAGCCAAATCTTGAAATAATTCCTTTAAAAGAACTAAGAGCAAAGGTAGAAATAAGTTTATAAACATGCCACTCAAAAGTTGGAGAACCAGAAGCATCACTACAACCATTTAAAGTAAAAAATTTGGGAGTTAAAGGCATATGCATCCCTGATATTTTTCCTTTCCATTTTATATTTATTAATCTTATTTTCTTTGAAGGCGTATGCATTCCTGTGCTGCAGATATTTAATATAGTTTCACATCAATGTTATTTGAGGAAAACAAGAAAGAACTGATTAAAGGAAAAAGGAGCGCAAATAACAACTCCTTTCAGCATTAAATCAAATTTAGTAGCTGGAGTGGCATATTTTTACAAGTCATTTTGAATTCATAAGACATCAATTTAAATTCGAGAAAGAGAGGAGACTATCCAGCTCTGGTCCCGCCTACGCAAGGTGTTGGGAGGGAAAGAGAAGAAGTTGAAGGGAAAAGCAAGGGCCTAGCTACAAGTTTTACATAACCTTTGGCCTTATTTTGCATCAAATGGTTGTTCTCAAACTCGAAAATGGCATCCTTGCACTAGTCAACCAAGCTTTTACCATCATCAAATCAGCAATGGCCCCTATGTCAATCTAAATCTAAAAGGAAAATATTTCCAATTTCAGATTCTAAAATAGTTGTAAGCCGTAAACTTTTCTTTTTTAACAGCTGGAGTAGCTCAGTTGGATACAACACGTGGCTGCCAACCACAAGGATGAAGTTTCAACCCCTTCCTCTATCATTTAAACATTAATCTTTCACAAAGTTTTTAAGCCTATGACAAAAGCAAAACAGTGACTTATTATATGGAGTATAAACTACTATATCATTTAAAAACAAAACCCTACATTTTTCAAATTGGTCCACCTTTGCTTTGTATGGTAGTAACTGTAGTATTATTCACAATAAACACACTATACCAACGAAAATTAATGAATGTATCTCTTTTATTAGGAAATTGTGTTTAGAAATTTGATCACATGCCAAATGTGCAAGACACCCTTGCTATTTAGTATGTGCATATGAATCCCTATAATTTGAAAATTTGTAGCAAATTGCCCCCTGGTCGTCAATTTTGAGCCAATTGTTTTTATAAAAACCCAAAATACCCTTAATAGAATTTGTGCATATTAGGTTTTTTTTTTTTAATTTTTTTTTTTTTTTATTTTGCTTTAAGGGCATTTTAGGTTTTCAATCTTCAAATTAAGAAAATCTCCTTATTTGCTCAATTTGAAAAATGTAGGGCTTTGTTTTTAACACCAGGGTTTTTGCACATTATGTATATAGTGGGGGATTTTTTTGCACAATACCCAAAATTTAATTACTAACATGATTATAAAGTTTTACATCTTTATGTGTATTTCATTTTTTTTAAAGCTCTGATTGACAGTAGATATAATAGATTTAACAACAACAACAATCACCTATTATCAAATTAACGATTAAAAACCAAACTTCATAAGTAAGAACTAATCACCTATTTATCAAAACTTCAAAAATTACCAACAGGTTATCACACATTAACAATTATCTATTATCGAATTAAACCATAATAAATAAGAAATCAAAACAAATATGATGACAAAGAAAATTGAGAATAAAATGAATAATCATAAATTAAAACATAGAACAGATCAAGGAACATAAAAGAAAAGAACAACTTTGATGTTATGCCTATGTATGAATGAGTGCTTGCATGTATACAGCAAATGAAACCCACGAACAAAAAGGATGGATATATAAAAGGAGGAAAAGGACTTTAAAATGCACCAATAAAAATCCACTAATACAACCGTACATGTATGTGTGTGTATATAATTAAAGTAATGAATATGCACGCATATATAACAGTGTAATTGGTGCATATATCTCAGATTCAACAAATAATAACGAGAAATTTTGAGTACTCCAACAAGAAGGTGACCGTTAAGGAGCTATTATACATAACCTTGGAAAGTTTGAATTTGGGGATAGGAGAGGGGGAGAGAGTAATTTGTGAACCATAAAAGGAAATTATTTAGAGAGATACAGAAAGACTTGAATAAATACAAGTGCATATATGTGTGTGTTATACGTACCTTGGAAAGTTCGAGAAGAGCGTTCTCTCTGAGATCGGGGTTGCTGAGATCGAGCACTAGCTGTTCGGCCGATTGCATTTTCCGATCTTTGTTCACCTGAGCTCCGACTACGTTCCCGGAACCGACGAAAGGAGCGTTGATGGAAAGAGACTGAGGCAGGTTGGTCATAGAGATCCTCACTCTCCTCTTTTTCTCTCCCTCTCTCTCAAATTTTCTTGTCTACGGAGACGGGTGTCGTGTCTGTCTCAAATGAAAATAAGGAAGAGGAAGTTGTGAATTAATTGAAGGACGTCATCATATTAATGTGCGCGTTAATGTTTCATAATAGTAGTGACGTACCCTTTTTAACCTCTTTGTATTTTTTTTTTCTTTAAAAGTTTAATTTTTCTTTTTTACAAATTTGGTAATTCAGTGTTATTTCTTTTATCTTTTAAAAAAAATAGTGAGGATTTAAATATTTTTAAATGAACAAAGTGGGAGTGACACTAATGAATTTCTTACTGATCACAACAATAGAAAAATAGTTTTTTTTTTTTTAACTTTTATATCTCACAAATTATCTTAATTATTTTCAAGAACTTATACGGTTGATTATGTTTGTACTTATACCTAATGTTATATTTGGTTGAAGGGAATGATTTGATAGGAAAGTGGAGGGAAAAACAATTTCCACCAAATTATTGTGTGTACAATGTACAATATAAGCCTATTATACCCCTTCCCCTGACTTTTTCTCCCAACTCTTAGCTTCAAACATATGCTTATACTCTAAACAGGCATCCCATTATTTACAAACGACTAGAACAGATTATAATTAATGACTAAGATATTTTATCTAAATTTCTCCACATAAATTATCTTATACTTTTACAAAATTATCTAATTTTTTAAAATATTTAAACTCCAAATTTGTGGAAGCTCGAGAATCTTTCGATTGTCTCAACACTCTACAATCTTCACAATGTGAAAGATTTTAGAATTCGACTTTCCTCATGTGTAAAGTCATCCTAAAGGACCTAAACATTGGTTACAACCTGCAATTACACAGACTATAATAATAGAATAAGTTGAATTCAAAGCTCACATAAACTTTTGTATATATTTTCTTATAGGGAAAATTATAAATAATTGGACTTTTGGGCTCCATTTTACAATTAGATAGAGTCTGGCATGAAATTTTAGAAAACTAAATTCTCTTAAAATATTTTTTATAGGAAAAATTATAAATAAGTGGACTTTTGGGCTCCATTTTACAGTTAGATGGAGTCCGAAACTTAAGAAAAATAAATTCTCTTAAAATGTGGATGTGAAGCCTGACATTGCTATTGAAATGATGAAATCACTTTTGTTTTTTAGTTGGTACTCAGACACCCTTTTAAGGAATTATTTTCACCTAATAGGAATTGATCCTAAGACATAATATTTGATGAGGTATCAGACAATGAAATAGCTTTTAATAGTAGAGCCGTCACAAAATTGTTGTCAATAAAAAACATGTTATTTGTTTAGCGATATATTGTATAAAATATTTTTTATACTTAAAAGTACTTTTAAATTTGTTTGGTAACAATGTTGTTTAAAGCAATTTTATTACTAAATTATTATATTAGATATGCACTTACAACAATGTTGCATCATATTATTGTAAGTATGATTTATTCATAAGGACTGCTGGTTAACATGGTACGATTACTGATTATAAAACTAGTTCAAATACACTGTTACAACTTAAAAATAAGATTTCTCGTTTGAGATTTTCACTTTACGGAGTCTATAGTCAAGTATAGATTCATAAATTGTCAATGGAATGAATTAATATTTGAATTTTTTTTTTTGGGAAAGTAAGGATGATTTTATAAATTAATGCAATATTTACATAAGCAAATCAAAAGAGTGGCAGGCCCACAAAGAGTGGACAGCCCACTCACAAAACATTGTACAAAACATTATCTAACAAGTTCACAATGAGGCCCAACATAGCAACAAGTTCACAAGGAGGCCCAGTATAACAACAAAGACAATACTAGTCTAGGGCGAATTAGACTATTCTTGTCTAAGGCATTCCCACTTCTGGTGTAGAACACAAGGGTACAAAACCCTAATCAGTTCGATCCGGCAGCACAAGTGGTGGTTTGATGAATGCCAGCAACTCCCATTCGTCCTTAATAGATGTAGTTAGAAGTTTTTGTCTTACCAAATCAGTGATCTGTCTGAAGATTGTAATTTGATTGCTCTCTTCAAACAGATCACTGATTTGGTAAGGCAAAAACTTCTAAAATTAGCTATTGTAATATAATTTATTTTTTGGGGTGGGTTTGAGTCCACCAAAGTCCACTACTAGATCCAACCTGGTTTATAGTGTCGATGCCTTTATCAAATACTATGTGAATAGTGATGGTGATGCAGCTCATAAAATTATATTTATACAAAAAAGATAGGGATTAAATTGTAAGAAAAAATATAATACAATTTCTCTAACAATAAAAGGGCTTTTATTTAGTCATCAAACAACACATCTAACCTTAACGCGTGTTTTTAGTGGTACACAAGAAATCCCAAACGGCCACGTTTAGAAAAACGCTGTCAAGCATTTAAGAGAAGTCATGTTTCTAAATTTTCATCACTTTGGCTCCATCTGACGGTAAAATGGTGTCTAAAAGTCCACCTCTTTGTAATATTCCCTCGTGTATATCTATCTATTTTAGCTCTATAAAACTCCTTTGATTGACATGGTGATAGAAAAATTAGAAATGATGAATGAAACAAAAAAAAAAAAAAAAAATTTGGTTGATGAAAAATTTAGATAATTGAATCAATTTATATATATAGTCTACAATTTTAGTTGTTAAATATTAAAATTCAATTTATATAAATTAATTGATAAAAACTTTAAAATATATTAAATTGGTGAAACCTCTTACAAAGAAAATGGAATGATCAGTTAATTTTATTTATCAGGGTGAAGTGTAAAAAAAATACCTCGACTTTCACCCGCCTATAAAAAACTCTCTTTATGAATTTGTTTAGCAAAAAACTCCCCTCAATTATTATAAAGGGGTATTTTAACTGACGTCCATTTTAGGTATTTTCAGAGGAAAATCTTTAACACATTACTGCTATGTTTGGTGTGCAGGAATTGAATGGAATGGAATGCCCATTCCAATCATTTTTTTGTTTGGTATGCAACTTAAAGTAGGAATGACCATTCCATTGGAATGAAAATCCATTCCACAACTAAACCTATGGAATGGCCATTCCATTCCCAAGTAATTTATTTTAAAAAATCGACTTTCCAAAACACCTTCATATTTTAAGTTCAAAAATCATCATTACCTTCCACTACAATCATCTCTGCTTTTCACCACCACTACCACCACTACCCCTGCCTTCCACCACTACCGACTTTCACCATCGCCTACCACTTTCCACCATCACCGCCACCACTGCCTTTCACCACCGTTTGCCATAACCATCACCGCCGCCTTTCACCACCGCTACCGCCACCGCCATTGCCTTTCACCACCTTCCACCACCACCACCACCACCGTCATCGCCTTTCATCACTGCCACCACCTTCCACCATCACCACTGCTACCGCCTTTCACTACCACCACCACCTTCCACCACCGTTACTGCCACAGCCCTATACCACCACCGCCGCCTTCCACCACCACCACCTCTGCCCACTTCCACAACCACCAACACCGCCGCAATCACTTTCCACCACCGCCATCGCCTTCTACCACCTTCTATCAGCACCACCACCTTCCATCACCGCTACCGCCACCACCTTTCACCACCACCGCCGCCGCCTTCCACCACCACCACTATCGTTAATTTAATTTAATTTATTTGTTACTAAAAGAGATATTTTGGAAAATTCAATTAAAAATTTATTTCATTCTAAATTTTAAATTGGTCCAACCAAACATTAGAATGGTTATTATCATTCAATTCTTACACATTTCATATTTACAACCAAACAATAAAATGAAAATGACAATTCCATTCCATTTCCATTCTCATTTCATTATTCCTTACATTCCATTCCTGCACACCAAACCTAGCATACACTTGTTCCCATTCATATCCCTGTCCGCAAATGAGATACAGATCCATTATACGTACTGAAGTATGCAATAGGAGCAAGCTTCAACTTCCTCTTTCTGAAATCATTGATATAGCTTCTTATGCCCTACCATATCAGCAAATTCACCACTATATAAGAAAGCTAGAACCAGAAAGGAAAGATCATGGAACAAATTTGTTGATGAGATTTCATTCAAAAGTCATTAATTGAAAACTGAAATACAGATCAAATCAGCAAGCAACCAGGAACATACCCAATAACCAGCACTTTGGGCTACGCGTGCCAATGGGTGAGAAAAATCATATGTCGGCATGCCTATTGAAAATGGATGCAAGAGGCATATCTTAAAAAAAGAAAATCTACAAATTATCTTAACCATTAGATTAACAAAACATTGCTTCAAACTCAATGACATAATGAGCATACAACAATGAATTTGGGGAACATTGAATATTCTGGAAGGTGTCCAAAGAATAATGCCATGGAGGGTTGAACAAGGTCGTAGTTCCGGCGACTTGGTTCAAGAAGCTTGCTGAGCTTAGCGGTTGAAGCTTTGGGTTCGCCGGACTATGACGCCGCTGCTACTTTGGACGCCGGAGTTCATAGATTCCGATGTGGTCGCTGAATGGTTTTCTTCTCCCCGACTTTTCTCCTTCAATAGCAGTCCAGTGAGGCTATGTCTAGCGAGCTTTTCTCTGGTAAGACCGGCGACCCACCTCTAACTTCGGGCCATTGGAACACCGTCTTAGAAGGCGGTTGTGCTGCACAGAAATTGGTGGCGCATCAAAGTTCATGTAACGGAATTCGCCGATTGGAACGATTCCACAGCTTTTTGCTAGCAGCATAGCCGGCGCCATCTTTCATCGTCTTCAATCGCGAAGTTTTGGGTTCTTCGAGGGTATGCCTTCTGATTAAGTCTTCCATTCCTACTGCAACTTCGATTTAATCTCTCTGTTTGTCATTAATTTAATCCCATTTAATCTCTCTCATTCACTCTATCATCTCTCTCCGATTCACTCTCTTCCGGCGACAACCTTGAAGCCAATGACGACAACTTTATGGGTGATTCCCCTATTTTTTCCTCTGCGGGACCAGTGGACAGAAAGATGAAAAAGTCGTTTTTTTTGTTTGGCTTAACCGGTGAAAGTCAATGGGTGCTTTTTTGCTAACAGGTGAAAGTTAAGTGGTATTTTTACAATTCGTCCAATTTATTGTTATCCTCTTCGTTTCAAAATACATATTCACTTTTTTATTTTTATTCATCCTAAAATAAGTGTTTAATTTAAAAAGTTTATGTATTATTTTTTATAATTTTCTTGCGTTAAATCTATAAAGAGTAAATCATCACATTACCGTGACACATTAAGAATAAATTCAATAATTCATTTATTATTAATATAATAAAATATATTATTCTAAATTAAACTTATAATAAACCACACTTTTTCGAAGAGGAGAGAGTATTGTGATAATGTCAGCAATGGTATCAGTCTTGGTAAATTTTAAGTCAATGTACATATTTTTACATGTCAACAAGAAAAGCGACACAAAATGATTTTATTCAATAATTTATTTATTATTAATATAATAAAAAAAATTATTCTAAAAAAAAGTTAAACTTCTAAAAAAACCATACCTTTTTGAAGAGAAGAGAATGTTGTGATGGTGTCAGGAATGGTATCATTTTTGGTACAAATTACGTCAATGTACATAATTTCACATGTCAACAAGAAAAGTGACACAAAATGATGATTTTTATGGCATTGTGTGATTGGACGATCAGATTTTTTGCACCATTGCCAATAGGGAAATTATTGTTATTTTATGGTGTGATGTAGTGAATTTTGGTGGGACAATAAATTATTAGATACCTATTCATTACAAACAATTAAAATCGAAACATTTTGATTTTGTCATTAGTTAGGATGACATCACTATGAACAATCCATAAAATTTTTACATTGTGATCAAAATAATTTCTTTCAAATCGAATACATATTGTATTGGTATATGTACCCAATAACAATGCACCATTTAAAAAAAAAGGTTAGTCCTCTTATAAAATTATTAATAAACGAGATAATGTACACAAGAGAGGACTATTGATACAAGGTATACACCTACGAACTTTTCAAGAAAACTGAAGTTTCAGGCAGTTAGCTCTTCATAGACAGTTCAAACATATGCACCAAGTAATTGAAGCATAGGAGAAAGTCACTATACCATAGTAGCATCATTAACATGGTGAATGTTTGGAAGCCCTCTTGAAAGTATTCTTTCATTTTCATCCATTTTTTTCATATCCTGAGACAAATAATAATAGGGGTAAAGTGCAAAAAATCCCCCCTAAGCTATTGCCTTTTTATAAATAACCCTCTAAACTATTGATTTGTTGCAATTAAGGTAAAACTCATCACAAATGACAATTTTACTCTTTCTTATTTTTATTATCTTTTCTCTTATGTAAATATTTATTATATTATTTACCTTGATTTTATTATAGTATCAATTTATCATAAAAATGAAAAAAAAAAAAAAAAAAAATTTGTAACTACCATTTTCTAAATTGATTAACTTATTATTAAAATTTTATTATTTGTAATAAAACTTATTATAACCAATTTAAACATTTTTTTCATAAAAAAAATATCTTCTTTTTCATACAATATATATTGATGAAAATTAATAAAATACTTTTAAAAAAATACCTTCTTTCCATGTAATATATTCATTAAAAATTTAAAAATTAATTAATTTTTTTAAAAAAATTCTACTAAATTTTTTTATTTAAATAATTAATTTAAAAAATTAAAGTTTAAGTTATAGAAATTTAATGGAGAATATTTCATCAAATTAGTATGATTTTTTTTTTTTCATAATTTATTTAGATAAGAAAAATATATTAAATGTAATTCAATAAGAAGGAGCATTATGGTCCTTTAATGAAATATAGTATAAGTATTGGGGTATGTTGCAACAAAATGTAATAGTTTAAGGGGTTTTATTTACAAAATATAGTTCAAGTGGATTATTTACAAATTGAAACATAATTCAGGTTTTTTTTTACACTTTACCCTATAATAATAATACTAATAATAACATAAGTAAATACTAGTTATTAACTACCATTCACTATGAGGTCTATCCTTTGAACACTATAAGTAACTTTAATTTTCCCCGTGACGCATTTGAACCATAAAAACAAGTCTCTACTACGGTAGACCAATAAGTAATTAGAACTGTGTATGGTATATTTACATGGTTGGATATGAATCTCAAACAAATAAAACAGGACTAAAATTTAGATTAAACCAAGTCACCCCTACCGGTCTTTTCAAATACTTGTGTATCTCTGAACCTTCAAATTGAAAAATGGAGAAGACTTTTGGATTAAAAAACATATGCTTTTAAGACCAATTCTTACCCTATATATAGGCATCGCATTCCTTATAAACGACTAGAACACATTACAATTAATGACTAAGATACTTTATCTAAAATTCTCCACATAAATTATCTTATATATTTACCAATTTTACAAAAATCTCTAATTTTTTAAAATGTTTGCACTGCAAATTTGTGCAAGCTCTAGAATCATTTAACTGTCTCAACACTCCACAATCTTCACACATGTGGAAGAAGATTGTAGTATTCAACTTTACTCATCATGTAAAGTCATCCTAAAGGACCTAAACATTGGTTACTTGGTTATGTCACTTGTATGGCCCGACCAGCAAATACACAGGACAAAAACTAAAAGATGGTGACTATAATAGAATAAGTTGAATTCAAAGCTCACATAAACTTTTGTATATATTTTTCTATAGGGAAAATTATAAATAAGTGGACTTTTGGGCTCCATTTTACAGTTGGATGGAGTCCGGCATGAAATTTTAGAAAACTAAATTCTCTTAAAATATTTTTTATAGGAAAAATTATAAATAAGTGGAATTTTGGGCTCCATTTTACAGTTAGATGGAGTCTGAAACTTCAGAAAAATGAATTCTTTAAAATGCAGTTGTGAAGCCATTTGAGATTGCTCTTAGATTGGTGAAATAACTATTTTTTTTTTTTTTTTTTGATTTTTTGATTTTTTAATTTTATAGTTGGTACTCACATGCCCCTCCAAAGAATTGTTTACACATAGCAGGAATCGATCCTAAGACCTGATACTTGATGAGGTACCAGGGCAAGGAAATTGCTTTTAATAGTAGGGCCGTCACAAAATTGTTATCAATAAAAATCATGTTATTTGTTTGGTGATACATTATATAAAATACTTCTTATATTTAAAAGTACTTTTAAATTTGTTTGGTAATAATATTGTTTAAACCAATTTTATTACTAATTTATTATATTAGATATGCACTTGCAACAGTACTTTTCAATGTTGCATGATATTATTGTGAGTATGATTTATTCATAAAGATTGCTGGTTAACATGATATGATTAGTGGTTATAAAACTAGTTCAAATACACTATTACAACTTAAAAATAGATTTATCTTTTGAGATTTTGTTAACACTGTTAACACATCTATCTATTTTAGCTCTATAAAACCCCTTTGATTGACATGGTGATAGAAATGATGAATAAAACAAAACAAAAAAAAAAGTTTGGTTGATGAAAAATTTAGATAATTGAATCAATTTATATAGTCTACAATTTTAGTTGTTAAATATTAAAATTCAATTTATAAATTAAGTGATAAATTTTTTTAAAACATATTAAATTGGTGAAACCTATTACAAGAAAAATGGAATAATCAGTTAATTTTATTTACTACAGTATTAGTTTACTACAGTATTAGTCTCTTCATTTTAAAATACGTGTCTACCTTTTTATTTTTATTCGTCCTAAAATAAGTGTTTAATTTAAAAAATTTATGTACTATTTTTTATAATATTATTAATTTAACCTCTTTTTATTGAACCTATAAAAAAAAAATTATCACATCAAGACTTACTAAGAATAAAATCAACAATTTATTTATAATTAATATAATAAAAAATATTATTCTAAAAAAGAGTTAAATTTCTAAAAAACCACACTTATTTGAAAAGGAGAAAGTATAATGATGATGTCAGCAATGAGTATCATTTTTGGTAAATTTTACATCAATGTATATAATTTCACGTGTCGAGAAGAAAAGTGACACAAAATGATGATTTTTATGGTGGTGGTGTGATTGGACGGTCAGATTTTTGGCACCATTGCCGATTGGGTTCGCCCTGTTCTTGGTACATCTTGGCTACCATTCCTATAACCGGCACCGGCACCGGCACCGGTATCGGCCTCGCCAGAGTCTCGGGGCTGCGATCATCTACATCAAGGACCACGCTAGGGATCGCCATGTAAGCATGAATTCTCTAATGTGTCCTTTAAGAATCTGAGAGTCCCAAATTCCCAATTAAGAATCCAAACGTTAAAAGACACACCACTATGATGTGGTGAATTTTGCTAAACCTTTTAGGGAAATTATTGTAAATTATTAGATATCTATTCATTACAAACAATTAAAATCCACGTGTTCATTTTGTGATTAGTTAGAATCACGTCAACCTAAACAATCTATTAAAATTTTATACGGTGATCTAAGCAATTTTCTTCAAATCGAGTAGATATTGGGTGCGTCTTACATTCCAGGTATATCCATCACTATTTCAAAAAAAAGTTAGCCCAACCTACTTATAAAATTGTTAATAAATGAGATAATTGTTAATAAACTAGTTTAAACTTTAAATTAATTTGTTTTCCAATTTTAATTCAATACCCCAACAAGAAGTTACCAGAATAGAGGTTAAACATTCTTCAGATCAAACAAAAAGTCAATTGAAATTCATTTATTAGATAAATATAGTCTTAATTTGTTCTTTTAAAACAACACAGCATTACAAATCTGCATTAAACCTGTCCTCATGGTACATAATAGTAACAAGATTGCAATAATTTGAAAATTTTCAATTCCATGTCCATTAATTGACGGAAGCAGGTACACATAAAAACATCAATTTGTGGAAACAATATATTTCCATTACATGTAAAAGAAGATTACAATTCACAATGTGGCAAAACTTCCATCCTGTGTGGAATTTAATGGCAAATGATTGTTCACTGCTAAACCAACTGAACGCCATAATATAAAGTAAAATGTCTCTATTTACAAACAGATTGTCAAAAGTTTGTTAACTTCAAGGCTCAAGCACTTCCATGACCATGCCATTGATCCAAATGTGACTTTTTTGCTTTAAAAGAAGATATGATGGAATGCTAGCCGTAATCTGATCTAGTCAGGTCCACCTTCACCTAGAGGGCACACAGAGATGCAATGACTAGTCAAACACCCGCCAGCACAATCATGCTGCTCCTATACTCTGCATGTTAATGATTCTTCTCTTTGGTGTTCTAATCTGGTGACAGGATCTCTCCTGAAGAACCAAGAAGTAGCTCATAGAGACTGCACTTTGACGCTGGCTTCAATTCTTCAAAAACCATATTCAGCTCAGAGAGAATCAGAATGCACAAATAGTTCATACTCTCAAAATCCGAGTTAATTTGTAGACCTGCAGGAACAGAAATGATTAATCCCATCAGTCCATCACAGATTCCTTTAAGCTGGGATATATATATATATATATATATAAATGACAATCTATAATCTAGAAGAGGGAAAACAATATTATGATATTCTGTGATCGAGTGCTCAAGCAAGGAAACTAATTGAAGACATTGAAGATCATCAACCACAATATCCATCCATCAAAAAACATAGATGATAAACAATAACTAAAAGAAGTGCGGGTTGTGTTGGTGAACGGGTTCATTGATCGACAGCAGCTAAACTCAGTATGAGTGTCTAGCTTGAGTCTTCATCAGGGGTAAATACACATAGGTGATTCTTAAGGGTAAGAGTCTGGAGTTAGTGTTGTACACGCTTTGATTACAGAGGATTGTGTCTAGTTGCATTCTGTGGTTTTTCCCTTGGGAGTTTTCCTTGTAAACCTCTATGTCTCCTTTAGATTGCTTTACTGTTTTATAGTTTGAGTGGATAATTATTCATAGCATGATTAATTAATTGGTTGAAATTGGCTAAAATTAAAGTTAAGCAAAATATTTATCAAATTCACACCCTCTAGGTCCTATTGAATCCATAACACATATTATATCAAGGATAGTATTTTGCACGGCCCTAGTTTAACTAACCTGAGCAGTTCTACTCGGCAATGGAACTTCCAAGCAGTTTCTGAGACCATCAACTCTGCACACAATACGCTAAATCAAGAGGAAAGAATAGAAACAAACCTAATATGATAAATCAAGCAAACACTGAGAAGTATACAATTCAGGAAGTGTTACAAGACAATGCCTACCTTTTACTACTAGTTCTCTGAAGATATTGGTTATGCTGAATAAGTCCTTGACCACTGTACTTCTCTTCATCCGTATTCAGTATGACCTGCGCTACTTATTCACAAGTTAGTGGATGCATGAAAGGGTAAAAAAGAAAACTCCAGCAAATGCAAGGAAAATCAAGGTTATCATACAAGAAAGAGTAAAAAAGAAAACTTCAGCAAAAGCAAGGAAAATCAAGGTTATCATACAAGAAAGAGTAATAGGACACTTGGGGCAAAAGCAAAACGATCAAATCTTAGAAAAACTGAACTCAAGAAAACCTTATACACTGATGTATTTTCTTTTGTAAAGACCTTATAACCCAATGTAGGGTGTTATTTTAATCTGTTTCTACTATCCTGTTACACCTTGCTTTGTTTATTTTTGGTCATAATACAATTTCTTACATACTCAACCCACTTTTTTTGCATTTCTTGCTCCTAGTTCCATTAAATTGAACCATATCACTCGTTACTAGTGCACTGTTGATCTTTTCTACAGATGATCAAAACATTTCAACTGGCATTCTCCAATCACGCCCTCAATTGGTGGTATCTCTAACTTCCTCATGAGGCATTTCTCTTGGAAAATGCCACTCTTTTCTAAATTTTGACGTATTTAATTTCAAATATTATACTTATTAGTTCCTGAGTTTTGAGAATATTCCGGAACAAGTTTAAATGTGCCACTTTGTGCTGGCTTAACATGAACCAATATCAACCATTTGCCTGTCCGCAGTGATTGAAGACACAATGTCCAAAATCTGGACTGTGCACTGTTTTATTGATAATTATGGGTGCAAACTAGGCCATCAAGATTCAAGATAAAAATGTGAGTTCAAGTCTGTAACATTAGCTCTACTTATCAAAAAAAAAAGTCTGTAACATTAGCTCTACACCTTGTCCACCACACCCATCTCCCTAGATTAACAGGAATGACTCTAGGTAAAAAGGCCGATCAAAGATTCATAAGTCATTCCTTCGCAGACCTGAAGAACTATTCACAGTTCAGCCCGCTTCACAGAATCAATCAAGTCAACTTCTCGTAGACTACCGAAGTTTGGACACCATGTGCAAGCCTAAGTCGAAAGCGGTATCGGTTGTTCCATTCCCCGTACAGATTCCATCTTCTGGGATAGAGCCGGGTTCCAACAGTTACAGCTCATAAAGTGCTCAAATTATGAAAATTTATAGCAATTCAGACGAAAAGAACCATACTCTAAACAGTAGCCAAACTCCCCATAGTCGACCAGCAGTTTAATCAAATTAAAAAAATATAGTGACCTAACTCCCCAGAATCGACCGGCATTTTAATCAAATTATAATAATATCACTAAGCTACATTTAAATAGAATTTCTTTTGTCAAGTTGCTCAAAAATAAATAAATAAATAAATTGAAGAATAATATGAAAATAGGAACATTTAGAAACCTTAAACATGACTGTCGAAGACAATAAAAGGGCAGCTAAATGCAACTTACTTGATACTCTCCAGCTTCTTCTACACCCACACTGTATCTTTCATATGAATTTGTGGGATGAAAATTGAATATAAAGAGAAAGGGACCTCTTGAGTAAGATATAACCTGCATTACAGGAAAAAAATGATTTAATATCAACATGACAGTTCACACAGATGTGTTAACAAAATTACATGCGTAAATGTGCAATAAAAATACAGGTAATCAGATGAAAACCGTGTATTATATGTATGTGTCAAGAGAGTTATAGCCACATCAATTGCTTGAGAAAAAAGACTTGCAAATAACAAATTGCACCATTGGACAGTTATTCCAAATTGGTGGGTGATACTTTGAATGATGGCTCATTCTTGTAAAAGACCGATTCTCAACATCAATAATATCACTGAGAAGGAACAAAACTGAAATAGTAGTACTATTTGAATGACCAACTTACAGCGTTGGTAATATCATTGAGAAGGTTTAATACATTACTCAAGAGAGGACTATTGATACAAGGTAAATGGTACACCTATGGACTTTTCAAGAAAACTGCAGTTTCAGGCAGTTAGCTCTTCATAGATACTTCAAACATATGCACCAAGTAATTGAAGCGGAGGAGTAAGTCACTATACCATAGTAGCATCATCAACATGGTGAATGTTTGGAAGCCCTCTTGAAAGTATTCTTTCATTTTCATCCATTTTCATCATATCCTGAGACAAATAATAATAATAATAATAATAATAATAATAATAAAAGAAGGATTAAATAGTTGTTATTAACTACAATTCACTATAAAGTCTATCATTTGATCACTATAAGTACGGTTAATTCATCATGTTTAAGTGTAGTTATCATCTTCCCTGTGAAGCATTTGAACTGTAAAAACAAGGCTCTACTATAGCAGATCAAGAAGTAATTAGAACTGTTTATGGTACATTCACATGGTTGGATATGAATCTCAAACAAATGTAAATATTAAGCAGTTCTTTGTTTTTCTTTTTCCATTTTACAAATGCAAATACAGAACCAAAGTTACTTACTTACAATAAGAAAGAACCCAGAAGGCCCTAACAAGCATACAATAAAAGTAAAAAATTATAATATATGGTCAAACGGACACCTTATCGAAAGAAAATAAATCTTGATGTACTCCTTCATTTGCCAACAGATCCCAACGACGGTTAGCAAGTGAAAATGAGAAGTTGTTACTTGGCATTGGGAACTCTACCTTCTGTTAACAAGAAAAATAGTTAATCCCACACATTGAGATCTTCACATGTCAGACATATTCAAAGGAAAGAGACTTAACCTTTGGATGCCCAAACTCATTGCCCATGAAGTTGATGTAAGCACGACCGCCAATTGTAAACGTAATTAATCTGATCATCTTACTCCCAAAAAATAAATAAATCTTTTTAGATAAAGATAGAAGCAAACAAAAACAAAAAAATGTTAAATGAAAAAAATAAGGATAAGAGATACTATATATTCATGCCTTAGAAGAGTATCTTTACAAGGTTTCCTTTGTTTTGACAAATAACATGTATATACCATGGATGGGCTACCAACTGGGCTGGTCAGAGCTCTCCTCAGAGTGAACCTGAGAGCACCCAGATAGTAAAATTCTTTCCCAAGCCCAATCTCAGCCGATAACTGAAGACCCATGTTTCAAAGCTAGGTTCTGTTTTCTACATGGACAATGGCCTCGAGTTCGACTTAGAGCGAAAACTTGGCAACAAGAGAGATAGATGTTTAAAGCTAGGAGATGAAAACTTGGCAACGAGAACTGAAATATGATTTTTTGAAAGGAAAAAAAAAAAATTAAACAAAGGAAAGAACACCTAATGTCTCTAACCTTATAGTTGAAGTCTTGATAAAAATCCCTAAAAGAAGTAAAAAGAGGTGTGTGAATAAATAAATGTATGTACCCCCAATGGTTGTAGCCTAGTGGTACTTGGTAACGTGGGTGTGTCAGTTTCTTGCCAAGGTAACAAAAAAAAAATGTATGTATATACTTTTATATATAAATATACAGAAATAGAGAGAGAGAGAGAGAGAGAGAGAGTAGAAGAGTTACCTGATGGAAATTAAAACTAGAAGTAGAAGATGTAACATCAAACAGCATAACTAGATGAAGAAGAGAGAAAAAGAGAGAGGAGAAGTTGAAAGGGGGGTAAAAACTTCAAGATTGGCGCTACTGAAGTCCAAAATTATTACCACTGACAGAAGACTTGGTAATGAAATGACCCTCATTTTGTATTCATTTCTTTTAAGGATGGTTAATATTAATGTATATATATATTTTAATGTTAAAGAAAGTAAAAGAAAAATAATATAAACCTTCACATTATTGGGCCAGGCTTATTTTGGGCTGAGCCGACTATGCTCGAGCTCAACCTAAGCTCAACGTTAGGCTAATAGATATTAAGCTCAGCTTGATTCAAACACATTCTAAACTCAGCCTGAACTTTTGCGGGCTGAATTCGGGCTTCAGCTTACCACAAACCCATGGACAACAATTTCACTGACTAAATAAGTCAGCAGAAAGTTAAAATACCCTGTATGGAAGCATGTGTGCAACAAAAGGAACAGTCAAGTGCAATAACTAAGAGGTGTCAATTATGAAAAACCAGAGGCTTCTAAATCAATGACATAAAAAGATGTAGGAGAATAAATTTTTAGGTTGCGCGAGAACAAATGAGTGTTTAATGAATACTTTATGCAGTGACGAGCCTCTGAGTAATGAATCTTTTGTGTTAGCTGAATGCTTCATGTGTTCGCCAAACAGTATTTCTGCAAATGACCGTCCTCCGGATATAGACTGCCAAGCAACAAAGTAATGCTTAGATGAGTAATGTATCAAATTAGAATGATAAATTAAAAAAAAAAGAAGCAAATGTTGTCATGGACATGACTACTATTACTAATACGAACACACAGACACACAAAGGAGAGATAGATGAGAATTACCTGGTTATGATTTTCAGCATACAAAAGCATCTTCTCGGCACTATGCCTGTTGCCCATTAATGTGCTCACAATCTGGAAAAAGAAAAGAAAAAAATCCAAAAAAGTATTAGAATAAACATAAACAAGGATAGATAACATCCCATTCAATACATATATAAACTGGGATGATTAGATGATCAACCTTACTCATGCTCCAATCATGGTCAGGAATTTTCTCAAGAAACCATGACCACATATCAGACGCTGAAAGATGGACATAATAATCAAATCCAAGTCCTCCCTGAGAAGTTGGCTCACATAGTCCAGGATAAAGTGTTGCCTGAGCAATAAAGCCAAGAAGACATCATGACCAGAAATAAAAGCAATATATATAGCCAGATGATTTGAAATATGAGGAGAAATGGTTTCAAGGAGTGTAGCAATTCTATGGCCACATATAGAAGCAAACTAGATCCATTACTTCCCACAGTCATAAATCAAGAGATAAATAGAATGAATTCCGAGTTATAAAAGGAATTTGCAATTTATCTTTTCAAAAGAGCCACTAAAATAATTATATACTGCAAAAAGAACCACTAAAATAATTATTTTTGAACCTTGATGGTATCATTTCCTTCTAAACTATTTCCACTAACACACAACTTTTAATCTACTTGCAGCAACTTGGCTAACTCCCAGCCTCAATTGATCAATCCGAAGCAATAATGCCCAGCAGTGTTCCACTTCCATTTCATATTAAATAAGGCATATTTCCCTTTGTTAATAAGTGTCACTCTTTAACACTCCCTCATGAGTTGGAGCATGAATTACTATCATAATAAACTTTTACAAGGCACAGAAAACCAACTATTCCCTAAAACTTTATTAAACATGCTTACTAACTGGTCTTAATAATTTATCATAAGACTAATTACTTTTCCTCTCACCGAAATATTTTCTATGAAGTGCCAGTCCACCTTCTATATGTTTAGTGCACTCACGAAATTTTGGATTGGAGGCAATATATATATATATATACACACCAACTTGATTATCCAATCTGCTGTAGAAGTAATTTTATCTAAATCATCTCACACGCTGTATGAGCCATGATTCTGTCATCTATTTCTGAACTTGAGCTTGCACTATGCATTCTACTCATCCATATAGCCAAATCAATATCCTCATATTAGTAAACCTAAAAAACTGATCTTATGTCCATCTTGTCCCGAGTCCAATCTGTATCAGAATAACATTCAGCACTCTGCAAGTGACATAAAAAGCCTACAATTAAACCTTTTCCAAGAGCTCCTTTTAAGGTACTTTTAGACATACAAACTGCTTCCCAATGTGGTATTCTACATAAATTGTCTGACGACTCCAGCAACAAAGCAATGTCAAGATGTTCATGATTACACAGATAAGCTTCCATAACAGTCTCCATAATTACACATCTACCTGGATCATCAAATAACAAACCATGACACATCTAAAATTAGAGTCCATTCTGTCAACTGGCTATATCACAAAAAATTCTCTCCTAATAGAACAGTGGCACAGTTCCTTTCAAACAAAGAGATCCCCAGGGAAAAGGAAAAAAAAAAAAAAAAAAAAAAAGGGATCCCCAGTACAAATCCAACAACCTCTATACTCAAAAGAAATATCTCAACTAACCAGATCTTTCATCAACTGCTCAGCTTTGTATTATATATATTTTTTTTCAATCACAATTACGTGAAACATAAAGATGTGCAAACCATCAAAGAGAGAACTTGAAGTAAAGAGGGATGGCACCGTCTACTGCAATTAGATCAATATTTTCACCATTGAGTCATTGACAAAGAATGTCCAATTTTTCATGCAAACCTTATTAACAAAATGATGTCAAGCTATAATTTTGTACCAGACTTAATAAAATGAAGAGGAACCCATAAATGAGAATTACTTACATCTTCGGCAATTGTAACTATATTGGGATGAAGAGCATGCAATATCTCATTTGCCAAAATGAGGTATATCAATGCATCCCTGTCAACATATTGGTTACAGTACCTGCAACAACAAAAATAATAAGTAAATATATAACCATTTTGAATATATATATATATTTGTATCTCAATCAACCATGATAATGAATATCAGTGCCAACACGAAAAAAAGAAGGAAAGAACAACTACAACTTCTAAAGTTTATAACTTGTACACCTAAAAAAATTACTTTTCCATATAGCATATCAAGGCTAACGCAAAATGACATGAAACAGTACCATGTAAAGGTGATTACATTTTAATCAATTTTAAAGTCATAGATGCCTTACTCTTCCATGTCACCAGTAAAAGAAGCGAAGCCATTATGTGTATACATCATTGACGAGAGTGAATGGAACTGGAAACCATCAATATGATACTCCACCACCCACCTGTTCAAACATCATAGCACAACAAAAAAAACCACCTACTTAAAAGAGACCCAGATGCAAGCTCCAAAAGACTTCAATTTTCTAATCAACCAATAGCATATAGAAGTTAACAAAATGCACCTCAGAGTAAAAAAATCCCAAATCAGATAAGCACTTAACCATTTCCATTATTAAAGATAGACGATACTCCTGCTCCACATACCAATTCAAGTTCGAGAGAAGAAAATGCAGCACTTCAAGGTCTCCATATTTGAACATTCTGGTACCCCAAAATTTGTGATGCCCTCGTTTACCTATCGACCCAGGAAGAATTGAATACGATATAAGTATATACAATCAACAGAACAAAGGCAATCAGAAAACTGAATAGTGTACAAATTATTGCAGCATGTTCAGTGACCTTAACAGAATTACTAAAAGAGTAAAAATGATAGTTCATGGCTTTGAAGGCCACGATTCCACGAGTATGTTTCAGCACACATGTTGCTTATTAAAAATAGTACGAAGTGACAAGGACCATAGTAAAAAGTTAAAAGTCAATCACATCACAGAAATATAGATCACAATGATAACAGAAGCTTCCCTCAACAAAAGAGACATTTAGATCAAGTTTTATATAGAAAGAGAATAATATTAGAAATAAATAAGGAAAAAAAAGATTCAGGAAGCAAGTAGGGATACTTCATTGGACAATAATACAAATATATAGAATTGGAAGACAAGATAATAATGAGTTTACCAATATGCAGCTTGGAGCCTTGGACATATCATCCAAAGTTACATACAAGTAATAAGTTTTGTGATTTCCATGCTATTAAGAGATACATTCAACAAGCTGAAGAAACATCATTACAACAAATTGGGTCTGATAAATGAGTCCCAATCACCATATAGGACCCCATAAGGAACACATGGACGAGTAGAAATGAGTGTTCTCCTACTAGGGAAAAAAAAAACACGCGCACACACACAACATTGCACACGCTAACTCTGCAAGATCTGTAAGGTGAAAATGATTCATGACAGGCAATCTGATCCTAGTCTTAGAAAACATCAATGTAAAAATATTTTTTACCAGTATGAAAGTAGCAATCATTTGATCCATCAAAAAGTGATAATCCAACCATCTCATCTGCTGCTGAGTAAGAATGGACAATTTCTAAGAAGACCAGCAGCCCTAGACCTGTAAAATGAATACTTAAATGTGTGCATGTAACTGTGCAGAAAAAATTGGAAAAATAACGAATTTAGAAAAAGATATCAAGAATACAAAATTTGAACCCAAATATAGAGGAGGGTTCACAAGATAGAAGTGGCAATGTAAGAGGAATAGGTATAACTTTAGAATCTATATCATCAACTTGTTACTTGTGGCTAGATTCTTTTCCATAGAGGGCCAAACATTTCAAGGAGGTGTCAAGAACATTACTTGCTCACAATACCATAGTAAACAGACCGACTATCTTAATATTACTATTATTTGGAAGACTCACAAACGCCAACATGTCATTTTTTTTAGAAATCCTACCTCGTCCAGTGTAACCTCTTTCCACTTAGAGCCCACAAGTGTATCCACCCATCTTGAGGAATAGACAAAAGACGAGGATAAGAAAACAAATTTAGGTTGTGTTACATGGAGTCTCATATTTCCCTCAGCGTGTAACAACACAATACGGTATAGGTATGCGTACAAGTTATGTTACATGGATTCAGGTACGTGTATGTATCCATGCAGCGGACGTCTCAAATCTACATACCCATGTCCGAGTAATATGTGTCCGACACGGGTACTTCACTACTTTTCAAGAGTCCATGGAACATAGTGTACAAGACGTGCCCAACAAACAAACTACATTGGGCCCCTGGACGCTTATATGTTACAGTGGAATAATAAAAAGTTCAAATGTGGTAGTAGGGAAACATATCCTACTTTTGGAATCGAAAGAAACCTCTTTTTTTCACTATGCCTCATTTACTTTAAATTTTAATCGAGTATATTCATAAAGAAGTAAAGAACACTAACATAACACATTACACTATCACATTGCACAAAATATATCTAAACGTACATGACATGTCTAAACATCCACACCCAACTTTGGAACATGGCACATAATATATCTAAACGTACATGACATGTCTAAACATCCACACCCAACTTTTTGTACATTTCAAGCCAAGTTCTCATATCCTGTTTCGGATTCAAGAAGGCCCGATACTTATACATACCCGCACCCAATACACATTATACACATACCAGAGCATATGTAACACAACGATAGCTGAGAAAGAGAGAGAATGATGTGACACAATGATATAAGACGTTGAGTAGAAGAAGGAACTCATCAATTATAGAAACAAAAGGTATAGAAGTAGGGTTTAGACCCGTGACCAGATAGTCACGTGTTTAGGATGTGAGAAGTATGGTGGTCCCATCAGCTGCATTTCTTTATCACCATCCACATATTCCCTTACTTATGAAGACCTCCATTGCTTTTTAGTAGAGTTCCTGGCAAACGGACACAATGGTTGAAATTGGGAAACTTCATTATGCAACAGACAATTGTTCACTTCCACTCTCCTCTTGAAGAGAAATCTTGGAAATGAAAAAGTAGGTCACGGATTGAAGTCATGATAACATATTTTCAAAGAAATTGCACACCTTGATTCTTTCCGTTCATGTTCCGAAGGAACACTGCATTGTCTCATTAGTTACAAGCTATAACTTTAACAGTTAATCAAATGAATCAGATGCCATCAAGCGTGTTAGTTATTTGAAGGCCGTGTAGAATTTCTATTGATTATCCCGAAGTCTTTTTCTTGAATTTTGGCTAAATGGGACTTCAAACTATGCCTTAAAATTTGTTAATCCTCCTCTGTGACACTGGTGCCTTTTATATGTTTTCCGAAAGCATCTTGAAACGGAACCTGGAAAAGACTTACATCTATTAATTAGGGTTTGGCCATGAAACTTTACTTATTCCCGTTCTGATCTACTTCAGGCAATACCTTACAGCCAACCCCAGTGTACGTGTCTTCTTTCACAGCAACTGATATTCTGTTTGTCCTTCTGTCTTCTCCTCCTAACACCTTTAACTTGGACCTCCTTAAAAACCAGTTCAATCATTTGTTTTTAGAGCACATGATTAATCTACCTCAACCAACATTTCTCTCCTAAATCCAACAGCGGGCAAAACCTCTACTTGCTAATTATCTTACTACTGTTATGAGTGGTCACTCGAGCATCAACTGACATTTATAGCTCACTCCTCCCGTACCCAAGACAGTGTTAGAAATCTACAGACAATACGGAGTAAATTTCTATAGTGTAGTGGAAAGTCAAATTTGCATCTTAAAAAGGATTTTGTACTTCATTATCGCTTCATCAAACCAAGTGAAATCCCTGGGTTGGTTTTATATAATGCTGTCCGGAAGTATCAAATATCTACATTGATACAGAAGTTATTCAAGTACTTGTGAAGAATGTATCAAGTCAATATTGTTAATTTGCAAATGAATGTCATCAAATAAAACAGTTTATATAATAACCATGTGCTTCATCAACCAAGCGCTTGAAGTCATCAGGAGTTCCATAACGGCTGCTAACAGCATACAAATTAGTTACCTGCAATAACATTGAAGAATTTAATCATCATGATACAGATGACATATCAAATGCACCTTAGCAAACTTGCAATCCAAACGAGATATGAAATTTGAGAGCTAAAAGTGAGGAAATGTACAAATGAAATTTAACAAATGAATGCGCAATTACACTTTTTCTTAATCAATGTCACTTAATCAAAATAGATCAGAAGTCCTAAAAAAATATTAATAAATAAATAAAAGTAGCAATAGCAGTCAGAAGTTCAGCAGCATTTCATTAGGTCCAACCTTTTTTTTTTTTTTTTACTTTAGTTTATGTTGCTTCTCATTGGAATCAATTTTAATCCAGAGCCTTTTTCCAGTGTAAAGGATGCTTTCAGTCACCAACTTAAAAAAAAAGAAAGAAAAAAAAAAAGAATGAATATGCATCACAGAAACTCAATATATTCAAATTTAAATTTGATTAAATATTAAGTTTGTTACAGAAAAAGATGTAAAGGAATAATATTCAACTCACTCTATAACCAACAGTAAAATAATCTTTGTGCTCAACAACTCCAATCAACTGAATTGCATTGTATCCAGCTTCTTTCACATGAGGGAGGACCTATGACATGGAAGAGAGAGTTCAAATGACTTTGCTTCCTAATTGTGAAAAGTGGGGTGAGAAAAGAGGAGAGAAATTATAAAACAGAAGAAGATAAGATCACATTCCAATATGAAACAAACAGAAATATTAACTGTAAACAAGGTGTTACCATTTCAGTAAAATCATTAAAAGAGGCAATTTTTGGCTCCAGCCCGCTAATCCCAACATGGCATTCATATATACGCAAAGACTTTGGATTTTGTGGGGGTTTGTATCTCCATTTGTAAGCACATTCAAGAGGCGGTTCCCAGTGAACTGCGAAAGCTTGCTTTCCATCCGCATCTGATATAATTATCAGAGTCCAGCCACCAAAATAAGTTGCACCATGCCAATATTAAGCAAAAGGATGCAAAAACTTAATTAATCAACCTTGGAAAATCCTGAAGCAGAGTGAATCAAAGAAGCATTCTTAACATTTAGGAATTATGTTTGGTTTCTGAGTAGTTGGACATGAAACATTCCCAAGATTTACACAAAGTGTTGTTAAGGTAATAGATATTGCAAACAAAGATCCAATAATAATAATAATTTTGAGTAAACCATGCAAAGGGAAGTGCATGATCCGCATCAATTTCCCATCAACACATAAGTCTGGTAGTCAAATTATAAGCACCCAGATAAAAAAATACTGCATCTTATTGTAAGTCAAATGGTATTAATACAATCAGTAAAAGAATAGAGAATGAAAAGTGAACTACTGGGGAGAACTAAGCAATGTGTAAGCTGAGAAAGAACTGAAAGCAAAAGTTAACACAAATTCCAAATACACTGTGAATTATGACAATACTTGATATACTTCAATTGTTTTTAATTGAATATATTATTTATTTAATCTTCTCGGTTCTTGTCAATCTACTGTTTGACCTTTAAAAAAAATTAAAGAAAATAAAAAAGGAAGAAGAAGAAGCAGTGTCAAGTTGTTAAACATTAAAATTATATAAGAAAACAAACTACAATACAATATGTCACAGGGTAAAGTAGAATGGTGAAGCACCTGATGACTTCCACAAGGAAAAGCTACATTAGGTACCTGGAATCACATAAGTAGCCCAAGCAGGAACACGTTCTAAAGGTCCACTAGGAGTGTTAAAATAGACCCTATATTTGCTTCCATGTGGAATTGCGGGTGTATATTTTTTCAACCATGCTTTCCTTCCCTTACGAGTCTCTAACCAGTATGCAATCGGAGGCTTCTTAGCACGAAATTTCTCTCGCGATACAGGATCATCCACAATATTAAAAATATCATATTCTTTTCCACTATCAATCACATCAAATGCAGGTAAATTGTTGGGCGGATCATCTTTATGCTGTTCTTTCCATGCCTTATATCTTGTCTCTGCATCAGGTATTTCTTCCAATTCCTCTTCCGTTTGAGGACCATTAGGGCCAAATATTTGTTCATATAATTTAGCAGCCGCTTCATAACGTGAATTTATAAAGCGGTCCTCCCCAGGTTCCCAGTATTCATCATTTGCTTTCTTAAAGATTTCCTCAATGGTAATACCACTGTCACCTTTATCATATTCATCCACGTAGTTATACTGTTGAAAATAGAGTTCATCTGGTTTTTCTCCCTCCCTCAATTTATCTTCAAGAATGATAAACCAGTAGCCATAATCATCATGGCCAAAATGACCCTCTCTTGCACAATTTTCAGTTGGCGACCACCCATTAAAATCACCAACGAGAGCACAATAGCGAGCACCTGTATTCAGTATGTTAAACATTCACATGTGACAAGCAGAAATCATACAAGAATAAAGAAATTAACAACTAGCTTTTGAGAGGAAATAAGTACCATAATGGTAATGCTGATTGCATCAGTTCAAATCATGGTTTTAAAATACAGTAGTAGTTGGAACTACTCATCAGAATTTGGATCCAAATCAGGGGCAAGTAAAAGAAAGTATCAAAAAAGAATTCAGCTGTCCAAAGCTGCCATAAGTTTGGCAACAATGTCAGTCAATTGAACTCTGGAGAAGAAATGAACAAGAAAACAGTGTGCATAAATGTAAGGAACATTGGATAATTATGCCAAACCTGGAGCCCATTCCATGAAATCCACCCGATGTTGCACGTGGCGGTGAATACCCAATATTTCAAATCTAGAGCAGAATATAAAGCATCAGTACAACAGTAAAACCCAAAACCTTTCAGATAGAAAATTTCATAATCAAATTGCAGATAAAATTTCCAGCATTCCATACAGAGTGGTGATAAAGAGTCCAAATTCGGATTCCAAATCATTTTCCATATAAATGTATAATGATTCTTTTCAGAAAAACAAGAAAAAAAAAATATATATATATATATATATATATATATATATATATATATATTGTAATTTAAAAAAGGAAAAAGAGAGAAGAGACTGGAGAATGAAGTAAAACTAACCCAGAAGCCATCTCCTTAAGATTCAGGTGGCGATTGAAAATTTCATCTGTCAGGTCCTTCAATGATTTATACCTGTAAATTATAATCAAGAAACATAAATACCACGGATTTCAAACACCCTCCATTGTCCAAAGAAATATATATATACATATACATATATTTCAATAGGTAAAAACCAACCAACACCACCAATTTTTGTCACTGAAAAATAAATGAAAAAGAAAATAAACTACAAGAAATATACTATTTTTGCCTCAATCTTCCAACAAATGAAAAAAAATAAAAACAGAAAAATAAAATAATAGATGTGCCTTACATATATATTACCCATAAACCCTTAATAAGAAGAACAGCCGGGAAAAATCAACTGAACCGAAAAAAAACAATATTACATTGAGTGAAGTTACAGTGTTACACTACACACATATAATATATATACACACACACACACACATACATATTGTAAATGTGGTTCGTTTTACCTTTCGCGGAGGAATTGAGCGAAGGGTTTATGGGAGATGCCGAGTTTGGTGAGGAAACCAACTGGGTCGATCCCTTTTTCGCTCTCGGGTTGGTTTTTCCTGCTCTTCGATTGTCTCTGCCGTGGTTGGTCGGTGGCCGAACACCTCCATGTCTTCTTCTTGGGAAAGATGATTCGATACTGGTGAGCTTGCTTGTCCTTGAGTGAATGGGAATTGAAATAACAGTCTCTCCGACTATGAACCCATGAAATTGGAGTTGGGAGTGTTAAGGAGGAGGTCATTGAGAATTCAAATCAAATGGTGTTGTTGCAGAGAGCTCGCACTGCGAATTAGATAAGAGGACTTGGGTTTGGAAATTTGGAAACTAACACCACTTTCTTTCTTTCTTTCTAATGCGGTCTGTTGTTTATTCAGCCATTATAATAGAATCCATGATATTACATAAACTTTACTGAATTATATATATATATATATATTTCACCACTGAATTATATATAAAAGGGTAAATTAAACTGACATGATATTCGCCCTAATTTCACACCGTTTTGGTTTGTAAATAAAAAATTATCATACTATAAAAAAATAAAAAAATAAAAAAAAATGCACACACATATATATTTGTATGGATATTACGAATGCTAATAAAAGATCGTGATAAAAAATATGGTAACGCCATTATATATACATTATAGTGATTAATGATTATTATTTTGTTAAGTTTATTTCATAGGTTAATACTAAATCAAATTAAAAGAGTGATGAAATGAGCAATGATGGTAAAAGTATTGTGAAACATTTATAAAGTTGCATATTTTTAACTTATTTTTAACTTATTAAAAAATATTTTTTATTTATAATTTCAAATATTAATATTAGTTTTTTTTTTTTTTTCGAGTATGTATAGTTAATAGTTTAATTGTTTTATCTTTGCTCTTTTAACACCAATATTATTACCATGTTTAATTAATTTTTTTAAATAGTCTAATAGATAGAATTCAACAAAAACTCTTTATAAAAAAATAAATAAAATATTAATATTCTATATAACATTGACAACAGTGATAACAATGTTGTAAATAAAATTAAAAATCCAGCCATAAATAAAATAAAAATTAAAAACCCAATGAAAATATATAAACCACCACCCCAAGCCATAATATTAAAAATACGGCAGTACCTTATAACCAATATAATCAATAGGTATATTATACATAAAACTCTCGTGAATTATAAAAAGGTAAATTAGATGAGATTTACCCTAATTTCACACAATCAAAATTCGTAAAATAGCGAACGAACGAAAGTTATATGTAATATGTCTGAGTAAAATACAATTTAAAAAAAAAAAATTAATACATAAACAATAGAAATATGCATGCTAAGAAGAAAGTCGATAACAAATATGATAACCCCTGTATATATATTACAGTGATAACATTGTATATAAATTATCCATTCATACCTCAATACTAAATCAAATGAAAGAGTGACTAAATGAATTCATGATTGTAAATTAGCATGAAATATTTATGAAGTTGCATATTTATTTATTTATATTTCGTAATTAAAGGTTGCATATTTATTTGCTTAGATATCTTATTGTCAACTTACCAAAAAAATAATAATAAATAAATACATTTCATGCTTTTAATTTCAAATTTGATACACATTTTCAAAAAACTATATATAAATACATAGTTTAAATTTTTTTTTATCATAACATTTAATAAAATACCTAGATGTACAAAATGAAATGGTTTGGATTGTTATTGATTATGTTATTCTAATTGCAATGTACACATTATCTAGAATTCAATTTTTTCTTATGATGAAATGATTAATCACATATTTGGTTGGAGGGATAAAAAAAAATTGAATGAAAGAGAGGGGTAATGGATGAGGCATTATTAGAAAACTATCTTTTTCACTTTTTATTTGACTAAATAAATAAAAGGAATAGTAAAAAGAAATAATTTGGCCACACTTTTATTTATTTATTTGGTTGAAAGATGTGTGTGTATATATATATAAAATCATTATATCCTTGTTACGCGTGTAAGATAATTTTAGTAGGATTAAAAAAGGGATTAGTAAATAATTAAAAGTTAAAATTGGTATCACGAATAAGTAGGTTTTCTTTCTTTCTTTCCCTCATCTTTTCCAAAATTTGAACAAACAAAAAGTACTTGCAAAAATTTGGGTATGATGGGAGGCTCCATCTCTCCTTACTTTGTACAGGCCCAAACGTTTCATAATAAAGGCCAAAAGTTAAAACACCAATTTTTATATGTTAACAATGGGTATTGCATGGAGCAATGAACAATACCTAGTTTTTATTTTAGATTTTTTTGAAAAATTTTAAAATGACCTTTTAAAATTAGCTATTATGTTTTTAAAATTTACAACACTTTTTAACCAAATGTGTTTTTATGTTTTTTGCTTCCAAAAATTTTACAACAAATAAATATTAGCGAATATGATTTCAATTATTATTCAAAATACCATATAACAAAACACTTGTTTTGTTTTGGATTAAAATAAAAATGCAAAAATAAAATGCATTATAATGGGCTTTATTTTTTTCATTCAGCAGATTCGTCAGATTAAAAGGTCCAAGTTGAAATATTTGAGAGATTATTACATATAAATGGTGCCAATGACTCATATTTACTATTTGATGAAGTCAAAATCTCGTAATTTCAAAAAAATGAAGATACGGAAAAATATTGTTTACCCTCACTGATGTATAACTTTTAGGCACATAGATACCACTTTTTGTGCATGCAAGTACCACTTTTTGTATTGCACAAAAACCTTTATGTCCAAAACAAAAAGTGGTACCTACGTGCCTAAAAGTAATACCTCAGTAATGGTAAACAATGTTTTTTCATATCCAGGTAAGCATTTTGATCAACTTCATTTTTTCAAAACTATAAGACTTAGACTTTATTAAATAGTAAATATATATTATTAGCGCCATTTATATGTAATAATTCTAATATTTTATGGGTTCGAGGGCATTAAACATTGTTTGGGCGGCACCTAATAAATTTTCTCAAACTCGGTGCAAAGGAAGGCCTATAACTAAAGAGAGTTGCAAAAATCTTGGGCGATCATGGCCCCTTAGTCCTCATGATGCCAAACAAAAAAATGCACTTCACTTCCCAATCAACAAGAGTGAAGTAGAACTTTGTAACAAGTAGGGTGATCACGAATCGAATCGAATTAGGTATCAATCATAATCCGATCTGTTCCTATTTTGGGCGAGCATGGATCCCATTGAATATATATATAAATCTCGCGGATTGGATCGGACTCACAAATTAGATCGGATTTTGACACTTTAATTTGTAATCCTATTAGTGGGCTACGGATTTAATTTTTTTTAATCTGCCACCAATTCGTGTGTGTAACAATTTGGTTTGATCCTCATAGATTGGATTAGATCAAATCGAATTCACGAATTATTTGTCTATCCCTAATTGCGAATTATTTGTCTATCCCTAGTAATAAGACATACGAGAATTGGAAAAAGAGCTGCTAGTGAAATCATCATTAGCAATTATGGCAATCAATGCTTGTGATCTAGCTGCATATCCTCTATTTTAAAAGCTAAAAAAAAAGAGTTCCGATCAAGTCTCTTCAAAAGCATTGCGAATGTTTCTGTTTAGATACACATGAGAAATGATACTCCGGAATTGATTAGAACACCATGAAAGAATATCCGGTCCGCTAAAGCCTAAGGGGTAATGGGCATGCATCACAAAATTATCAAAATGAATTCCAATTATGGATGAGAAGCTATATCTAAAAACACATATGAGCATATGTGTTTCTGTTTATAAAGTGGGCTTGGATGAAAGGAGGTATAGGGATTGAAGTGGAAAAACGATAGTTTATTTATTTATTTATTGTGATTGAAAGGAGGAGAGGAATGTTGCGATTGAACGCTTTTATACATCTATGGGAAAAGGAAATCTGGTGCTATAGTTTAGGTTAAGAATGGGTAAAACAGTTCTGTTGCACGAGAAAATTTTAATTAGCCGGATTGCCCTAACCTAGCAATCTAGCTAGCGCGATACAGACTTCTGCATGTTTGATCATGAAAGTTCTAATTTCTAAAATTCCTTTTTTTCATTAATTTTTTTTTCATATTTTAAAATGCAAATTAGGTTGGCACTCATTCATGAATCTTAATAGGCAGAATAATAATGTTGCATTCTTGATTTAAATTAAAAATTAATATTAATCATGCTTACATGGTGTGTGACTTCCTCGATTAAATTGCAAAGCAAAAGCACATTTCACAAATATTTACAATTTTTTTTTTTTTTGGGACACCGCAGTCTAGCTGTTAGAGGTATTTTGAAAATAAAATAGAAAAATTCGGTTAAGATATAAAAAGAATTTCACCCGATAACGTTTTCCTCAATTAAATACGGCAACAAACCCAAACATGAGTAAAATATAAAAAACCTAATCAACGATAAGTATTTTAATTTTTTACTACACGTATTTTATAGGATTGTATTATTGATTCGTGCCTTAAGATTGAGCCATAGATTATTCTTACTCTTAGCAATCACATTCACTTCTAGTTACACACCACCTGTTAGAACTTATTGAGAACAATTTTGACCTCCACTTTTTATATAGACATCCTGTTATGATAGATTACCACCAATATTTAATTTTTTGTATAAAATATCTAAAATATTGACAAACATTACAAACTCTCCTACATCCTCAGCTCTTCTAAAATCTTCTCAGCCCTACAAATTCCTACAACCTCTCTAATTTTCCAAAACCCTCCACTACCCTCTCTAATTTTCCAAAACCCTCCACTACCCAATTCTCCTCATATGTCATGTAGACGTCATAATCCATGTAAAATTAAAAAAAGAGTACAATGATACATTGTCATATGTATAATTTATAGCAATGTATTGATTCAGAATTAACTCAGAAGCAAAGAAATTAGAGTTGAGAGTGTTGAGGAGGTCATTGAGAATACAAATTAAAAGTTAGTAGCTCAGAGCTTTCTAACACCACTTTCTTTCTTTATAATGTGGCCTGTTTTGTATTAAGCAATTAAATTACCACCCAACCAATAATATTATATGCGATCAGCCTATGACCTTATATGATCTGAAAATAATCAAGGGTATATTAAATAAATTTTTTGTGAATTATAAAAAGATATTGCACACAATTATAACTACTAATATTAAACCATATATTCCTTTGTCATTATTGTTGACCATCATCATTATATTTGACCAGATATTTCACCCAAATTGTATATTATATTTTCAGATTATATATAAATAACAAGGCTTCAGTCATCTACATTTTGTAGTTGGCACCATTATCTTTATTTCATGTCTCTATTTCATTATGGTATCAGAGCAATAAGATCTAACCATGGAGTCAGTTACTGAAAAATCAAATGATTCTGGAAAGATCCAAGGATCAAATGACGACCCATTCATCATCCACCACTCTGATAATCCAACGGCAATACTAGTTTCTCCACTTCTTTCTGGAGACAATTATGGGACATGGTGTCGTGCCATGACCATGGCACTTCGTGCGAAAAATAAATTTGGGTTTGTGGATGGCTCAATTCAAACACCCACAAGTACTAGTGACTTGCATCACTGGGAGCGATGCAACAACTTGGTTAGTTCTTGGATACTCAACTCCACGGACGCTGAAATCCGTGCAAGCATGCTCTATGCCGACACTGCCAAAGAGATTTGGCTTGATCTTCGTGACAGATTCATTCAGACAAATGCACCAAAGGTGTATCAATTGAAGCAATCCATTGATTCTTGTACACAAGGTGATTCCTCTGTTTCTACTTATTTTACAAAGTTAAAAGGCTTTATGGGATGAACTTAATTCCCTTGAAGATATTCAGCCATGTACTTGTGGACATGACAAAACAAGTGCTCTGAGTAGGGGTGGTTACGGATCGGATCGGATTAGGCATAAATCCTAATCCGATTTGCTCGCAACAGATTGGAAGATTTTGAATTCAGCCATGTACTTGTCGACATGGCAAAGCAAGTGTTGTGAGTAGAGGTGACCACGAATCGGATTAGGCATAAACCACTTGCAATGGATTGGGAGATTTTGAATCCGTTACCAATCCGTTAGCCCACGGATCAGATCGAATCGAATCCGTGAAACAACGGATCAGATCGGATCCAATCCGCGGATATCATCTTCATCTCCATCTCCATTTTCTTCTCCGATCTCCTCCTAGGGTTCATGTGGTTACACAATCTTTTCGCATGCGTCCAATCCACCGATTTTCTTCTTCTCCGATCTCCTCTTAGGGTCATTATTTATTCTTCGACTCACTCTCTTTATCATCATCATCAACAAATGAGACCCAAACCTTTCCATCATGTTGATTTTCTTCTTCAAATCATTGTCGATCTCATCGATTCATCATCAACAAGAACAAGAACAATCAGCTGTTGGTAGTCTCTGATTTCTTCGGTCGCAACCGAACCCTAAATCCGAAAGAAATTCAAACCGATTCGATTGACTCTTCACTGGCCATGCGACCGACCTTGGTTCGCTGTGATCTCCCTCTCGAGAGAGGACTTGTTCAATTCCAAGCAACACTGTGGTCTCCAGATGCTTATTTCAGATCCAACTACCCAAGTGTTCTAACACTGAAAAGATGAAGCTAGTAGCTATGTGTGCTTAATAAATTGTTTTTCTGATTTCTCTTTGCTCTACAAATCTGTAGGTGGTCCACTGGTCAACTCCCAAAGAAATAAATAATAAATAAATACTTATATTGTATAATATTAACATATAGTCATATTTTTACTGTTTATGTTTTCTTTTTCTTTCTTTTTTAATATATGTTTTCTAAAAGATTGTATTATACTCACATGTATTATATTCGTAAACGTTCATGGAGTCCTTGCAAGAACTCCATTGCTTGGTCTTCTTGTCGCCTCACAACTAGGGCTGGACAAAAAATTCGCGAATATGTAGATCCGATTCGTATGGATCGGATTGTTAAATTCACGGATCAGTGGTGGATTTAAAAAATGTGAATCCGTAGGTCACGAATCGAATTCACGGATCAAATCGAATTTTTGACAAGGTAATTCGTAATCCGATCCGCGTACTACGGATTCACATTTTTAAATCCACCACTGATATGTGAATTTAACAATCCGATCCATACGAATCGGATCTACATATTCACGAATTTTTTGTCTAGCTCTAGTTGTGAGGCAACAAGAAGACCAAGCAATGGAGTTCTTGCAAGGACTCCATGAACGTTTACGAGTATAATACAATCTTTTAGAAAACATATATTAAAAAAAGAAAGCATAAACAGTAGAAATATGCCTATATGTTTGTACGAGTATAATACAAATACTAATAAATAAATAAAAACGTGATAAAAAAATATGGTAGCCCCTGCACACTCACACACACACACACACACACACACATATATATTTATTTATATATATTACCATGATTATTATTGTTATGTTTTATTTAAATTCTCCATTCAAAACTCAATACTAAGAAAATTAAAAGAGTGATGAAATTAACTCATGATTGTAAAATTATTATGAAACATTTATGGAGTTGCATATTTATTTGTTTAGGTATATTATTTTTCACTTAGCAAAATTCCATTTTATTTTTTTAAATTCAAATATTGATATTACATAGTTTTCATTGTTTCTTCATGACATTTAAGCAAATTCTTAAGATATACAACAATACATGATACTAGCTAGTTATGACTTTCTTGTTCACTCGCAAAGATGGTTCTGATTGTTACTGTTTATTTATTCTAATTGCACACTATCTAGAATTCATTCTTTTCATATGATGAAAAGATTCAAGGTTATGGAAACTTTTTAGATGAAGCATTTTTCCACAATGTATTGTGCCTAAAATGTCTATATACGTATAACACGATCCCATTGTTGTATAGCATGTATGTTGTATATCTATGTGTGTATTTTGTTCCATCTTTTTTACTGTATCTCTCCGAGTGTGAAACAAGGGTGGGCTTTGGATACCTTTTCTTAAAAAAAAATAAAAATTTATTGATAACTCTATTTCAAAATTTGATGCTTAGATAATAATGGAAGCCGAGCTATAAAAATACAGACATATACATATATGCACGCCCTCCAACGTATATATACATGTCTTGAGTGTTTGATTTCCATTTATGAGTGAGAAGTTCACGAAATTATTTTAAGGCAGTCACGTGTCATTGGCCGAAAGGATCAAAATATACTACCTCACTATCTTAAGTGAGAAAGTGCATTAAATTTTGGTTTTTTTAAAAATTAATGTTAGATTTGGGGTCATGGATTTAAATTTTCAAGCTGGAAGAGATCTGCACTTTTAATATGGAGAAGTTCCAAAGAAAAATAATTATGCTACACATTAAAGAAAAATCATTATGGTCGTCATTTTACAATAAAAGTAACCAATAATTTTATGTCGATGTTTTATTGTTTTAATAAAATTGTGGAGCCAGGGTAATTTGAAACTATCACCTAGTCTGGACATCCAAAAATACATTATGATACAATCAACTTATCTAAGTCATCCAAGCCAATTGCCATTGTTAGGCAAAGAATGCCGTTCTATAGTATTCCAGAATAGTGTAAAGAATTATGGAAATATTATAAAGAGTGTTGGAAGATTTTAAAATATTAAAATTTTTTGTATATTCCATTGGTGCTGCCGTTTGCAAATTTGGCCCAAAATTTTGAGACTGCTTGCTCCAATAGGCTATCGAAAAAGTGGGCCACAAAATTTGAGATCGTCAAAAAAGGCGACCCTGAAGGCGATTATGGTTCACTTTTTGTGAGTCGAATTTTGTTTTATTTTATTTTTTTAATTCAGGCCCAGAACAGAATATTGTTCCTAAGGGCATATTTGGCTGAAATAAAAACTAAAAATTCAGATTTTTGGCTTATTTTGGTCTCTTTTCTTTTCTTTTTTTTCCCTCAAAATAATTGAACCAAAGAGCCGTTAAGGCACTGTTTGGCTGACACAAACAGTGCCTTAAAGGTTTTTTTTGGCAAAAAAAAGTTTTAAAAAATTGAAAAAAAGTGATTTTTTTTTTTTTTTTCCTTTTTAAAATTTTCAATGTTCCTATTGATGTTATAGCTGTTTTAGGTACTGTTTGGCTAACCCAAACAGTGCCTTAACAGCTATATTGACTAACCAAACAAAAAAAAAAAATTTATTTGTTTTCCCTAACAAATTGAAAATTATTTTAAAATATGATTTTTTTATTTATTAAAAACAATGGAGACATTATAAATATAGCCGTTAAAAAAAAGTTAAAAAATAAATTTTATTTTAAATTTTAAAAATATTAGTATTTTTGTGGAGTGAAAATGTATCATTAAAGTACACGCGATAGTTAAAAGTCGGAGACTCTAAAACGCTAAACGTGGTTATGAAAATTGTTGACGTGACTATTAAAAAATGTCGATGTGAAAAATTCGAAAAGCCTAAATTCGAAGAATCCATTAGAAATCCATTAGAAATGCTGTCATAGATGATAGAATATTCTAGAGGAGCAAAGAGTTGTACTGAATTTTGGTAGATTAGATGGGTGGTAGCATGCCTATAAAAAGTTGTGGAAAAAAAAAGGAGCCACTACTTATGAACAACAATGATAGAAAGCACCAGCAGCAGTGATTTTGAATGTGTTAAACATGGAGGAAATTATTTATGGTTTATTTTAGCTCAAACACAAATCACTGGAAATTATTAAAATCCAGTTTAAGAAAGGAATATGCACAATCGACTTACCTTTTCCAAAAAAAAAAATGATGGGGAAGGGGATTGTTTCAAACCAAACATAGATAAAGTTTATAATATTTTTTTGCATAAAATGTTTATGTACACATATTACAAGATTTCAACTAAAAAATTATAATTATTCATTAAGTTTGAAATTTATTTGACAAAATATAAGCTTAATTCAGTTACAATTATATGTAGTATAGGTGTATAATATGCGTTTTTTAATAATTATGCACAAAGTATTTGGAGCACTAGAGATCGAGGATTGAATCTAAAATTTACACGAAAGGTTTGCTAATAGTGTTAGAGTCAAGAATTTACTTCAGATGAAGCAACCGTTAAAATAATATGATAACAAAATTTAAATCAAAATAATAAATATATAACAAAGAAGAGATCTGTTTTGAATTTTGATTCTTGAATTTTTTGTGGGACTTATTGGAGGAGAAAAGACATGGGTCTTTTTTAATTTTAATTTTAATTTTTTTTATGAGTTTGAAAATGAGGGGTTTTTTTATTTTTGAGAAATTTTCTTAAAGTCTTTGGGAATTTTAAAATTTTCAGTAGGAGCATTATTATAATAATCAAAATTTGCATTTAAAAAATGCAAATAGTAAAAAAATTAATTCAGATCATAATGGGCTTTATTTTTTCATTCAGATTTGGGCTTCTTAACAGATAAGCCTATGTGATTAAGCACATGTTTAGAAAGTGGGCTTCGATAAAAGAAGGGAATATCATTCTTTGCCCTTTTTTAGATGTCACACCTCAGTACTTCGCCATTGTAGTACATCAACTTTATTGGGTTACATTGTTGAAAAAAAAAACTTGACTGGGGTTATTACAATCGGCACACCCAATAAATATTTATGATATTGCATTCTACTTATTTTTGCAACACAAAATTACGACTGTACAAGCTCAATTATTGAATTATATAAATTTCAGACATTTAAAACGACTCTGACTGCACTTAGTATTTTCTTCAATTTCATAATAATTTGTTAATCAAACATATATACTCCTTCAAGATGCCATGTAATATTAATTACTAATTGTAAATCCTTTCATATTTATATTTTTATCAATTTTCAGAATTAATATGTTTTTGTATGCACATGGCAGTGAGAAGAACCAATAACTCAAATTTGACTAATCATATATATATGAGTTATGTGAATATCAATAAATGCCTTTGTTTAATTAACTTGCACATCTAAAAATCCTCCTTTTGAAATAAAACTTATGCGTGCTTGTATTTGATGATAGGCAATCAACATTTGCTCTACATCTTCAACAAGATATTATCATTGAATACTTTCTCTTAAGATTTGGCTCAACATCTAATTTTAGTTAAAGACTTGTACATCGAATAAAAATTGTTTCATACTATTTATTAAATGAGATTGGCGTTTACAATAAATCATTAGGTACTCTTAATATACCGATAATATAATACTCTTAGCGTAAACACACCAATAAATTTTTGTGTTTACACCCAATATGTAAAGTAACTAACAATAACTCTGCAACTTGGAGATGAATTAAATGATTTGTACTTTGAATATTGAGTTGGACCGGTCAATTACAAGTCGAACAGGCAATGACATTTTTTATGATGAAACCGTGTGCCTAAGATGTTGAGTGTAATGAAATTACATGTGAAAACAAAATGTGTGTGATGTGGAAGAGAAAAGCAATAAAAAAAAAATAATAAAATAAAAATGAAGAAGAGGAAGAAGAAGCAACAGCAGTGAAGCATGTGGTTTTAAGCGATTTTAATGGAAAATTCCACAATTCTGTAATTGAAGAAGCTAGGTCTGGTTCACTTTTTGTACTCTTGAAGTAAAGTTCTTAGAGGAAATGAAGGATGACTAAGACCCAGCTTTTGCTTGCCAAAATACCAATTAGTACTAGTTTATTATATATATATATTATATATATATATATAAAGCTAATGTATGAAACAATTAACCTAGTAACCTAGCTAGGGGCCTAGGGCCATACAGACTTTTGAATCTTTGACCATGAAAGTTCTAATTTATAAAATTTCATTTTTTCATTATTATTATTATTTTTATATTTTAGTATACGAATTAGGAAGGCGCTCATTCTTGAATCTTGATACGCATCTTCAGATTCACAGACTAATAGTGTCACATTCCCGATTTAAGTAAATAAAATAATGTATTTTAATTATTATTTCACTAGCAATTTAATAGTGTTATATGGTGCCACAAGATGATGGTGGTGTGACTGGCGTCCCTTCATTCATTTAATTTTGAAAGCAAAGTACATTACACAAATATTTTCAATTGATTCCTCTCTGTTTTTTCTTCTTTTTTGTGGGCACCGAAGTCTGTTGAGGTACTTTGGGAAAATCATAGACAAATAATTACATGTAACCCCAATCTTGATATATATTTATTTTCTTAATTTTTGAATTTCAGGAAATGAGTTTTTCTGTTAATTAATAAGAATATCACGAGGCAAAGCAAACCCCAATTACATACGGATTAGGAATTTTTTGAGGGGTTTGATTTATTTTGTGAAGAAAAAAAAAAATGACAATTTTCATTTAATCCATTTATTGTTTAAGGAAGTGATATTGAAATAAACTTCCGGCATTTTACTTCTTGAATTGAAATATCAAACGTGTGCTAGTATCGTCTCCTTATTATTTGTAATTAGACTATATATATATATATTAAAAAAAATATGAACTCTGTGATATAAAAGAAAAAGAACTCTCAAGATATACATACATTTGGGTACTAAATTAAGTTTGAAACATAGGAATAACGTAACAAACTTATCAGGAAACTTTTGAAAAACAAATTAGTTATTAATTACAGGCTTTGTGGCTTAGTGGTATCTCATCTATCTTTTAAAGTGGATGGTGAGAGTTCAAGTCTCCAAGGAGCCAAATTAAGTGTGTGAGTTTTTGCCACTGAAATATATATATATATATATATATATAGTTATTAATTAATTGTTATTTTTAGAATTAAGAAAAAATATAACATTAATGACCATTATTCTTGTTAATATATAATTGTAAGTTATAACTTAATATATAGAGATGGATATTACCCTCCTATTATATATATCAGCAACTAGCTTGTAGCTTTATTTAATTAAGACTATAATTATATCCATTCAATCAATAAACACACAACATCTTTTCAGTGTTCTTTCACAGTGTTTAAACAATTTAGACTCAACTCTAGTGAGTAATATTTGAGTATGAAATTAAAAATACTTTATTTGTTACATATTATTTTCCATTCAGAACAGAAATTAAGGGACTTGAATTCCCCTCTCATTTACACCATTAATAACCAAACAATGGAAATTTCGATCTCAATTGCATAATACGCAATATCTCAAGTATATATCTCTCTAACCCTAACAAATTGTAAGCTAACAAGCTAGAATGAGTTTTTAATACATATTATACTTGGAAGTTTTGAATAACATTACATTTAGATAAACACTATATGATTTTAAATCATTAACTATATATATATATATATATATATATAGAGTATTGAGAACCACCAAATTAATGTGGTTTTTTATTGATTATATATGAAATTTTAAATAACGAACCTCGTGACCCCTATATATGGACCTTCTTAAGCATAGTCACACATTCCATATATACAGTAGCCACCGGGCATGCACCGGTTGTTGCAAGCCCCGCAGTGCCTCTTGTCATAGGCCAGATCAACGCACTCTCCTCGGCAGCAAGAGTATGTGAACTTGCACTTGTGCTTGCATGCACCGCAGTTATCGTCATCCGTCGTCAAGTCTATGCATTTGTTGTTGCAGCAAGTAGAGTTCCGGCTTCCATGGACGTAACAAATGTCCCTGTCTTTGTGACAATGATCAGCTGCTCTAGGGTTCTTATCGGCTAGGAAACGACTTAGCCTTTTGGAAGGTAGACCTTTGGATGCAGTGTCTAGAGGATTAATGAGCTTGAAAGGCGGTTTCTCTTCTTCGTCCGCGATGTTTTTCATGGTGAGAGTGAGTGTTATAGCCATGGTGATGGCTAAAGCGAAGATTGTTTTCATCACCTTCATGGTTGTGATCATGAAGGTGGAGAGAGAGAGAAAACTAGAGAGAGAGAGAGGAGGGGGGAGGGAGATGGTCTTGGAATTTGTTAAATAGGGGAGAGATTTGTGTAAGGAAATGGCATGCAACAGTAGAGGGTTTTGTAGATGACTAAAGGGAGGGGTTGACGCGGAAATAGTGGTAAAAGGTGGGAGGCTCTTGGGGTGTGCTGCTAAGAGTGTGTTTCAATTTTTGGTTTTACATTTTTTTTTTTTTTTTTGGGTAATTGTTTTTATTGGGTGATTGTTTTTTGGTTTTAGTTTATATGGAAATGACTGTTATTTGGACACTCAAACTTTTACTCAATGGGTCACCCCTCCTGCTGAAGAGGACAATTCTGCCCCCAATAAACTATAAGTTTTGCTAGGAAACCATTCATACGTTATTTTGTAATTTTTGGGATTATATATATAGTTAGCAGTCGAAATTCCAAATAGAGCAAATTCATGTGAAATTCATGTGAATCCAGATTATTCGTATTTCAATATTAGGATCTTATCTAGATTCAAATACAAAACGGATCCTATGAATGTGGATCCATGTTCAACTCACATAGATTCAAATAAAGTAATTTCGTGTCAAATTTGATTCTGATAAGAATTATTCAGATTCCTAAACTCGAATTCGCTTAAATCTTTCAATGAAGATCTATATTCTGCATATTCTTAAATTTGAATACAAAATTAAAGTTCAAATCATTAAAATTGACTTCACATCGAATTCGATTTGGGACTGGTTCCATTTCAAGTATTAATTAATTGTTATTATAATATCATGTAGGTTGACAATAATGAAATCTGACATTAATTAATTGTCGTTATAATATCATGTAGGTTGACAATAATGAAATCTGACCAGTGCAAACCTCTAGAGCATGTATTCACTAACTGGGATTTCAAAGAAAAGAAGAAGGTCTTAAGGATTTTGTTCATTAATTAATTAATTAATTTATTTTTGGATCTATTTTTGCTGTTTATGGTTGAGAAATTCCAACTTTAAGTGATGGACCAATTGAAACAAATTAACTACGACCGCCGGGTCTTTGGCTCAAGTTTTACCATATTAATTCACGTGCTCTTTTGTGGGTGGATGTGACTAGCCTACAATAAAGATGTGGGATGAAAATATAAGCAATGATATTCATCCTGTTTCAATTCATCAAAATATATATATATATATATATATATATATATATATAGGCTTTTCATTTTTTCTTTATTTTAGGACTCAAATTAAATCGAATAATACTAGGGGTATTGACACCCTTACTTCCGATTGTGAAAGGAGAGAAGGGAATGGGCTCCATAACACAGTTGCAAGCCAGTTGTAGACAAGTTTAATATTTTTCAATTCAACCACATATATTAATTCAACCAAAGACCTTATTTTTTGGCAGGGTTACTGTTTCTATGGTATAATAAGTTAGATTTAACCATCCTAATTGAGTGTTTTTTTTTTTTTTTTTAAGGTTTTTCAAATGAACACTTGTTTTTTTTAAAGCATCAATGAACCCTAAAAACAAAAATAAAAAATAAATATAATGAATAAGTCAAAAGGGCAATTATGACTTTTCCTGCTCTGGTCAAGATGCGTGCCCGGTTGATAAACAGCTAGAGTCCCAGAATGCCGACCTGAAGAAACTGGGGCATGCTGTTTGGGAAAGCAAAGGCAGAGAGCAATAAAGAAATGAAAACTACAATTAGCAAAAACACAGTAAACAACCTCTTAAGCCACTTCATTTTCTATATATAAGTATATATATAAAACAAAGGCTTGAGCTGAAAGACAGCTTATTGAACTCGGAATTTTGAATCAAGCACAGAATGAAAGTTATATAGTACATGTTAATTGAGTGATATGTAATGCAATATATCACAAGAAGCTTCCAATGAGAGAATGCCACGCGTTGAGGGATTGAGCACATTTCACTTAATTTCTTTCAATATTTAATTATCATAAAATTTAATAATCTATTGAAGTATTGATTTATTTACCACCTAAGACGCTAAGAGTAATTGAACAATTTTTTTTCTTTTTTTTTTTTTTTAAAAAAAAAGAGAGGAGTCTTTTTGTCTTTTGAGTGAAAATAATGTACATCTCCTCTGTCCTCTGCTATTTATTTATTTTTTTCTATTTTAAAGAATGTTCAATCAAACTTGCATGCAATCACAATATAGCTTTAAACACGACTTGAACTCTCAACTTCTCTTTTAAAGGAATAATATATGTTTGTTCAAATCTATTACGTCTCTGTATTGAGTAAGGTCATAAAAATTATATCAACTTTAAGAGAATACAGTCCAATGAAATTTCATGAGACTCATTGTGTTCGATGAGTCTGAAAATTTTCATTAACCTCAAAAAATAAAAAATAAATGTGTCTTGAACTCCACTTTGTAAGACTCTATTGTTAAACTAGTACATGATTTTCAACAATGTTAATTTAGATAATTATACTAAAGTCTGTGATTTAGTGGTATTTTCTTAATTTGTAAATTAAGTAAAAAAAAATAGAGAATTCAAGTCTCTCCAAAAATATTGGGAAAGTTCTTTCATCAATTTGCCACCTAATTCTTCAAATTATTTTATTTATTTGGGGGTATTGAAAGAAAACTATTATGTTTTTTAAGTGGATTTTCGAGTACATTTGATCAAGACCCTTTAGTGAGACTAAATAGTGGTCATTGATCAAAACACCCCTAGATTCATCAAGACCACCCACCCATTATACTCTTTTTGAGTTGACGTTTCTTAACAATGTTATATTTATTTAATACAGTATTTGTAAGAGAATTACTACTATGTCAACAATTTGAATGGAATTAGGGTGTTAATTGAAGAAATGGGCAGTCACTTACATTTGAAGGCAACACGGATTCTTTGACTTGAAGGCAAAAAAATTGGTTTTGATATTAAAATTAATTATGCAACAAGTACAGTTGAATTACAATCTCAATTTACTGTCAGAAGTCAACTCTTGTGATAACACAGCTTGGCAAGTCAATTAAGATCCTCCATTAGTTTCTAACCGATCAATGATAGCATACCATTGAGAATTTTTTCCACTTTTAATGTGAAATGACATTATTATTATTAATTTCATTCCTGAAAATATGAAGGGTATTTATGTCAATCAGCGTGTGTGTATATATAACACTCTTGAACATGCTTGTTTCTTTTTTTTAAAAAAAAAAAAAAAAAATTAATAAATATGCTTCTAATTAGACTAACCAGTAACCATCCTTAATTTTTAATTTAAAAAAAAAAAAATTAGAAGAAGAAGAAGAGAGTAGTTACGAGCTCACTAAAATTAGCCTCCTATTATAAAAAAAGTACAATAATTGAATACATTCGTGGGAGGATGTCACATTTTTTTATTTGGGTTAATTAGAGCCTCCAGGAGCTTGTTTGAAATTTATTTTTCATAAAGTTTAAAATAAATAAATTAGTTCTATCAATCACACAAATAATATGAAAGATCATAAGATTCGTAGTGATTATTTAAAAATTAATTTAATTTAAGTAAATTTAATTTAAACAAAGTATTTTTTTCTTAGTGATTATCTTAGTTTTTGTAGTGATTATCTAGACCACCTTAAAATGGCTGAAATAATACACAGTGGCTGAAATAACAATAAGATTCGTAGTGATTAATATGACAAATTCTAATCCTAAACAGCCTCTACTTCTTGCGATGATAAATACAAAAGAAAAGAAAACTCTCTCAAAATCATTTTTTTGCAAGACTCAGATTGATTTCCTCTTAAGATTCGGTTAGAATTTACTTGATTTTTTAAATATATTCATGTTACTGTTGATTTGCATTATTTTTTTTCAAATAAAGAAGTGCAATTATATGATGTTACATCTTAATATTGAAAATATACCTTATATTTATTACTCTAGTTCCTGTCTTGTGTAAAATAATTAGGTTGAAATGGTAGGTGTAACGGAGATACATTTATTTTTATTTTTTTTATTTTTTATGCAACTTAATTTAGACTATACAGTTTTATTATGATTATTACTATTATCATTATTATTCACCCAACTCAACAAAAAATTTACCCTATTTAAGTGAATCGTTTACTCATAAAGTTATAAATGTTGGTTTTTATTGTTTTGACAGATGGAGAACGAAAATTTAATAGATCAGATAGGCGAGTTATTCGAACAGTACATTAATGGAAAGTACTTTATATTTCTTGCTCAGTTCTATATACTTCCCTCTAATTTGGATTTAATCATTTTTAATTATTAAATTAAATGGTGTTAGGCTTTTTTTTTTTTTTTTTTTGTCTTTTCTTATTTCTAAACAGGTAAATTGATTTACCTAAAAAAGAAAAGAAAAAAAGAAGAAGAAGAGAAAGTAAATTGCAAAAACTTATAAACTGTTATTATCTCTGAATCTGAAATGCGGAAGCTAAAATCATTAATGATGACTAACCCACTGAAATACACAATTTCTTCCATATAGACCCTCACCATAAATTCCCACAAAAATATAATGGAAATCCTCACTAATTTGTTCATTATTGACTTTTAATATATCTTTATTACAAAAATAACTTTTTGTTTTTGGTAATTTAATTTAATTTGCACATTTTAAAAATTAACCTTCGGTTTTGAATGCAGAATATGTTGTATTTCTCTGGTTAGCCTTGGGTGTGGTGTCTATGGGTATTGGCAAACTCAGCTTTTGCATGATACATGATGATGTTTCACAAATGTTTGGTGCAGTTGGAATTTCTATTGGGCTACTCGCATACATGCTTTTGTTACTCATCCTTATTGACTCGAGCCCATATCGACATAATGTGCACTTCATGGGATGCTTCGCAAAAACTGCGATATGCCTCAATGGTCTATTCATAGTTTTTCTTTTGCGATACCTACCTGAGGATGTTACCTATAGTATCAGTTGGATGTCATTTACGCTGGAATGTTACGCGTTTCGGGAACTATTTTA